TAAATAGTTACTTAATCATATATATAATGAATCCATAGACGGTTAATTGATAAATTGTTTAAATGGGCTAAAATAATATAAGTTAAATAACCAATGATCATCCAAATTATTAAATTTGTCTTAAATAATTCAATGAGCAAATAGACATTATTTTTAGGTCGGTAAACTTAGCGTTACTGGGAAAATGTTTTTTTGAAACAGTACCTTTCATTCAAACCTTGATTTACAGTAATATCTTTAATTTTTATTTTATATGCTAGTTAAATACAATTAAAATATTATCTTTCCATTAAAAAAAATTGAGTTCAAACCCTTTTAATGTACAAGTAATAAACATTCTTCATGATTGAAAAAAATAGAAAACAAGTGCATAATACAAATTACAAAAGAATTCTTTTTTTTTTTATTAATTTAGTGAACAATAGTTAAATTATCACCTTGTATTTTTATTTATAGATTTTAAACTTGACAGCAAGTTGTAACTCACTTGTGCTCTATCATATTTACCCAGTCACACAATGAAATAAAAAGTGAGGGATAGAGGTAAATACATGTGTTTGAATAAATTAAAACACCAGGTCATAGTTCACAATTAAGTAGGTGTATATTAAACAATTAAATTAAATAAAAGCCGAAAATTTATACAACTTAAATAAAAATTAGCCTTTTTGGTACAAAATAAGCAATAAATTGATGTATAAAAACATTCAGATAATAATTAAATAAAAAATAACAAATAGTTATTAATAGTAACAAATAGTAACAAAATTTTAACTTTATGAACAACAATTCCAATTGTTTAATTGAAATTTAATTGTTTACTGTGGGTACCCACACTTTACAATTGCAATAAAAAAAAAATGAACTACTTAAACTTAAATAATTATAACAAAAATGTTAATAAACTAATTATAAACAAAAATCTTCACGTGAAGTTCTTATTAATTTGAATTATAAGATATATAAAAATAAGCCTGCCAAGTCGGATCAAAATGTAAATTTTTTTAATTAAAAAAAAACAAACATTATCTAACATAAATATAATTTTCCTTATTTTTTTAATAGTTCAAACATTTTCATTAGTATTCAACGTTCCAAAACCATGCTTATAGTTATTCATAAATGTAATTATTACAATAAGCTGAAAAATTACAAGCTATCAAGTTTTTAGTAACTGATTAAAATTTAGTAATTAAAAGCGTCTTATCAATATTTATTTCTTGACTTCCTATACCCTTAAAGTAAATCAAAAATATACAACAAATGAATCATACAGTATATTAAAATTTATAAAGATAATTACTACTGAAAATCAAAAGAAGTTATATTTTATAAGTAAATTTTTTTTTAATGAATTTGTTAAAAAATATATAATAATGTAAAAAAAATAATCAATTTTGACTAAATAATAGTATTAAAAATCAAAATTACATTTATGGTAACATAATTCTCAGAGGTCAACTTAATAAATGTTATTCAAGCCAATAAATAATTATATAATACATAGATTATAAAACAAAAAATATGCTCGTTTTATTTATGTGAAGTATTTAAAACCTAATAACTAAAATTATAGTACCTTTGTTTTTAAAATGAAATTTCAGTATCTACTAAAAGGTTAAAGAAAATTATTTATTTTATTGTTCACTAAATGTTTGCCTTTGGACATAGTAAAAAAACTATTAAAAAACTTTTTTTCAGAAAATTTCAACATTTTATTAAATCAACGTGTATTTAAAAAAAAATCATTATGAAAATATAATTAGTGGGTGGATTAAAATGTACCTATATAAGAAAGCACCGAAAATTGTAATCAGTATAGAACCTTCTCCTTTCGAAGCATTTATATAATTATTGGTTATAAAAAAAACCAATACACGACAATGCAAACCATTCAAGTGAGTAATAAATATGTATTTAATTAATAACATTATATCTTAAAAATTATTTATCATTAAATTTAACTAAATGATCTAAACAAATATTTGACTTCTATAATTCCTACAAAGTTAAATTTTAAACATGATTTTTTAAAGTATTAACATTTTATAATACACTTTAATTTACTCGTAAGCTTTTGAAAAATGAAAAAATTTACAATAAATTAAAAATATTAAATTTCAACTAAATTTAAAGTTTAATCCTGTTAACTGAACATTAGATTCCTATTTGTATTCTATACATTTTAATGATTATCATATGTAACTTAATACTTTTATCAAATGATATTAATATCAACAATGCATTTTTCAGGTAATTTCACTTTTCTCCGCTTGTGTAGGCTTTGCACTCGCCCAAGATATTATTGCACCTCATAGTCTATTATACAAATCTGCCATCCCATCAGTATACAATTATGGATTACCAACATTGCCCAAACCAGTAACACTGCCATCACATTCTTATTCATCATCTTCAATGTCACCAGCTCGTTATGCTCCATTAGCTAAAGCTGTAACTCTTGATTATGCCCACACTACATCACCTATTGTGCCGTCTCCTTACTATCCCTTGGCCAAGGCTGCCGTTCCAGAATATTCATATGCTGCAGCACCTTACTATCCTTTTGCCAAAACTGTAGCTGCCGATTATCCATATGCTGCGTCTTCTGTTTTACCAAGCTATTACCCATGGGCTAAAGCCGCCTTTCCAGAATATTCGTACACACACTCTCCTTACTACCCTTTAGCTAAATCTGTAGATCCAGAATTACCTATTGTGCCATCCCCTTACTATCCATTAGCCAAGGCCTCCGTTCCAGAATATCCATTTTCTGCAGCACATTATTATCCATTATCCAAAACTGTAGCTGCTGAATACCCTTATGCTGCATCATCTATTTTACCAACTTCATACTATCCAATAGCTAAGACTGTTCCTTCATCTTATTCTTATACTACATCGTCTATTCTACCAAGCTATTATCCATTGGCCAAGACAGCAGTTCCAGAATGGCCATACGCTCCTTCTTACCTTTCATCGTACAAATCCGACATTGTAGAACCAATCGAATTGATGAAGAAGAAATAAACACATTGAATTTGTTTTCCATGTATTTCAATTAATTTCTTTTAAATAATTTTAATTATTAAACATACAATTTGTTTGTCTATTGTCAGTTATGTCTTATTTAATGAAAGTGACAATAAACATATATTATCACACACATGTTATTTTATTTTTTTTCCTCGGTTTATCTACAGTTTATTTATAGTCTTTCACTAAGAAATAATATTACTTGTATATATTCATTTCTAAAGTATGTACTTCATTCACATAGATTAAAACTGAAATCTATTTGTTTAAAAATAACGATATTTAATTAGGTTCTTAAATATATATTTATTTAAGATTTTTAATGTAATAAATGATGATTTTTAAAAAATATTCCTTTTTAAAATCAATAATTTTACATTTGATTTATTTTTAAAATCTAAATAATTATTTACGAATAATGTAAATCTCCCTATTAGTAATTTTTTAATAAAACCAAACAAGAAAATATTTATAAAATATGAAATACATTTTAACATAGAAAAAAACAACTATTAAAGTAGTAGTTTTTTAAGTACCTTTTATTAAAAGTACCATTAAAAATTGGTTTTGACATAGAAAATAGAAAACCAAAAATCTAACTGAATCCCTTGATTAATCTTTTTAAAGATCCGTTTATAGATTCCTACCAAATAACCATTTTTTTCTAAGTATGAATAAACATATATAATTAAATTGAATGTTAGATAATGATATAAAAAAATTGTAGTAAAAAAATATAATAATTAAAAAATCTGTGATTTCTTATATAATTAGAACTTTTTGTTTTACTTCAGGGACCGTTTAAATATAGAAAAGAAGTTGTTGGGACAATTTTTTTTTTACTTATAGTTTGATTATATAATTTTTTATAATCAAAAATTAAGTTAAAAAAGTTAAATTTTTAAAAAAAATTTGTATACATTCATCCATTTTTCAAAAATGATGGTGGTTTTAGTAAATTTTTTTTAAAAATACCAACAATTGATATTTCACGATTTGTAAAAAAAAGTACTGAATTATGAGAAAAAAAAATTAAAGTATTATTAGTTCCTGAGTAAATGATTTTCTTACTAAATTTGTATCAATAAATAGTAAATAATAAATACTTTTTAGGTCATTGTCTTATGTGTTATAAAAGTATCAAATTTTTTTTTTTAGTATGAATAAACATATATAATTAAATTATATGTTAGATGATGATTGAAAAAAAATTAAAGTAAAAAAGTATAATAATGCAAAAAACTGTGATTTTTATACAATTTGTCACTTTTTGTTTAAATATAGAAGACCATTTTTTTAACTTATGATATATTATATAATCTTTTATAATCAATTATTAAGTTAAAAAAGTTTAACTTAAAAAAAAAAATTGTATGCAATAATTCATTTTTCAAAAGTTATGTTGGTTTTAGTAAAAATTTTAAAAAAATTCCAAAACATGATATTTTAAGATTCGTAAAAAAAATTACTAAATTATGAGAAAAAAAAAATTAAATTATTATTATTAGTTCCTGAGTAAATGATTTTCTTACTAAATTTGTATCAATTTGTANGAGTAAATGATTTTCTTACTAAATTTGTATCAATTTGTAAATTATCTTTTTTAGTTATAATTGCAATTAATCAGCTCATTTACAGGTGGTGTATAAATTCTTCATGAAATAATAAGCAGACATAGCGAGAAGAATTTGTACACCTTCATCAAAGGGATACAAATTGTGAAATTATAATTAGTGTTTAATTTCAATTTATAACGACTCTCACTTAAACTAACTCACTTGTTAGTTCATTATTGTACAAAGTACCGAAAAAAATCTATAAATTTAAAAAAATGTATTCTTAATTAATTGGATATTAATAATATTTTTTATTTAAAATAAATAATTTATAAACCTCATTAGGTTTAAGCAAAATGTAAGATAATTTAAATATGACATAAAGTACACTAATATCTACATTTTGTAAATCAATTTATTATTTATAGGTACATAAGTTAATTGAAATTTAACATTTTAAGTAATACTAATATATCAACATAAAATATAAAAATGTCAATTGATAACGAGAAAATCCAAATTATATTTACTTATTAACTACTAAATTCTCTTAAGAGAATATTTAATAATTATTTCGATTAGTTTTGATATTAAATGAGGGTATTTAGTTAAGATATATGAAACGGAATACATTTTATAATAATATAAGTCTGTAGAATGGCGTTTCTCTGGGTACAACGTTATCAACAAACTCGCCAATTACATTTGTAGCAGGATTAATTACTGCAGTAATTATATAACTTTTTTCAAAATTTTCTTCATTATCATAAAAACTATTTCCATATGCCACACCAACTCCAATCTCTCTAGCATTTTTCCAAACTATTGATATAGCATGGCCACGTATACAAGAATTCCCTAGGTGTCGTCAATTAATATATAAGTTATTAAATATGTTCTAATTTATTGTCAACAAAGTAATTTAAAAAAGAAAAAATTTTTATTATATTTTAATATGAGAAACGGTGTAGGTCAGTAACGAAACAGTGTCTACATATGGTCTGGACTTTGTTACTGAGTCACAGACAGTTATGTTTCCCGAACGAGAGATTAGTTTAGTAATTGTAGTCACCATCTTTTTTTGGGGCGACGGATCTCTCGTTTCTCAATATAATTGGTTTAGAAATTTCCTCATTTAAGGAGGCCTCAATAATATATAATGGTCAGTAAAAAGCAGAAAAAAAATATAAGTTTATAACACAAAAATTTTAACAGCCACATTGAGGTATAGATAACATAATAATTTTATTTTTAAATATACATATAGTAAATATTAATATTTTTTGACAATGAAAATATCGTTTTTTAATAAAGATTTTAATATTGTTTTATTTCATGAAAAAAAAGTTAAATTATTGTATTAATAATTGTGTATTTCGTTTAATTAAATATAATAATAATTGAAAAAAAGAATTAAGTATCAAAAATATCATAAAAAAAAACTAGACTCGTAAAAAACGGTAGCACAGTGGGGTCGCGGCATTGTGTGGACGAGGCATAGATGGGACAAGTATAAGTGATATCTGACAGTGATTAAAATCACTATCATTAGAAACGCTTCGATGCAAATCTGTAGATAGTATTTAATTTTAAGAAATTGGTAGATTATTTTAAAAACAACCATAACTCTTATTCCCTTAATTTTATCCCAATTTATAATTATAATATATGAATACATAATAATTATAGTAATTAAATTTAGAATGAAATTGATATTCAATAATGTTGTAATTTTTACGGAGATATTATAAAAATAAAAAGGAGTTTATATTCCTTTACTTTTAACGTGTATACAAATTTAAAGGGATTGATGCAATACTTTTTAATAAAAAATTTTTGTTACTTATGAATAAATTCACTGGACTTACAAGGAACTTTCATCAGAAGCAAAAATATACTTTTCTAAATCAACTTTCGCGCTTCTAATTTTTATATTATTACTAATTACATATAAATAATAATAAAAAAAAAATTGTTTCCAAATTATTACTGATTTTGATTTTTAATATATTAAAAATAATAAATATTTTTCCTTGGGTTGTTACTTATCATTATTTTATCAATAGTTGAGTAATAATTAAATGAAACTTAACGAGTAAATACTTTTTTTTTAATCTAATAGTGTTTTTTTCTTTAATTCTTTGAGGGGGTAAAATAATTATTTAAAATTTATTAGTAGTCTTTCAAATAATTTAACTTTAATGATAGAACAATTCATTTTAATCTAATGTGATGATTTTACTAGAAATCAATTAATAGTTCATATGGTAATCGAGCTTCATGGAAATTGAACACAAAAATCATTATAAATTATTATAATAAACATCTATACCAAAAATAAATTTAATTATTAATTACTGTACCTGCCTGAGACTTTTCGAATTCTGTACCATTAAAATTATAAGGATTCCCATATTTATCTAATTTAAAAAATTCGTCATAATATAAGTCAGCAGATCTTTTTCCTGCATCAAATGAAAGTTGTTGTAAACATATATTTTCACCATACATAAATTGAGTTGGACCATGTTCATAATATTTAGTTTTTACGATGTGGTTCGCTAAAATTTGAGCTACCTCATTTAACTGTGAAAATGAAATTTCAACTTTATATAAAAGAAAAGCTCCAAGCGATTTATTATACTAATTATTTTCAAAATAATTTTAATAGTTAATACTTTATTTATTTTTTAATTCTTAATAAAACATTATTATATTTATTATATTATTATCATAATTTTTTTTCCTAGGATTATTGTTTTATGGATAATAACAAGGTTATCTTGTATAAGTTATGAACTTAATCTATGATTTATATTGATAATAATAATAATAGATAGCCTTAGGTTTTTTATAAGAAGTCATTGTAAAATATTTTTACCTCTATGTGCATTTTCAAGTCAGGTACGCCATGCAATGATCTATAATAATTAATTTGATTAATATGTTGGCACATAATATTCCAAGCTATTTCTTCTGTTGTCCCAAGGTGTTTATTCTTTAAAACATCGTATTCATCACCATATATATTACGCCATATACCACGTGCCTTACTTATACTAGAATTTACAGAGTATATAATTAGTAGGTTGTGACTACAATCAGTGTAGAATGGTTATATTGTTTATTTTACTTACACCGGAAGTATCGTATGATTCGTATTAATATTATGCTTATATTTAAATGAAGTTTTTGTGAGTTTGGTTATCTATTATTGACGAATTCGTAGAAAGTGCATTGTTTTAATTACACATTAAAAAAAAAAACAAGCACAGTTGGGTCGTGTCGTACTGGGGATGTGGAATATTTAGTATAAGTATAGATAATTTCTGACTCAGACTAACATTTCTATTATAAAAAAACGCTACGATGCGAATCTGTTAAATTTCACAATAATTTTTGTAAATTTGTAACTTCACAATTTCTGTGTTTTTTCATTTCACTTAAATATTAAATATCAAATATTGAAGGTATTTTAATGATATTTCTATTTTTCGTTGAAATACGTATATTTTTGTTTAAATTCGTATATTTTCATTTAAATTATTTGATTAATTGAAAATAAAGTATTTATAACTTTGTTGGCTCATTTCTCATAATAGAAAAACCTTAAGGACAAACTTTTTCATTGAATTTTCACAAAAATCTTATTTATATTGTATTAAAATTTGATTACGATCAGTATTTTATTAGCTTCGATGCGAAGCTGAGAAGGTATTGGTTTTACTATGATGTGTTTTTTTTTTTTTTTTGTGTGTGTCTGTTACCACTTTTTCTCAGCTCTCACCGAACGGATTTCTTTCAACGATACGTCAAAAGATCACAAATCGTATCTAGTCGAAAACATTACCCTTAAATATTGAAAAAATTTCCCTCGTTCCCCGTAAATGGGGGAAACCTCCAAAAAAATTACAAATTTAAAAATCGCTCATTTTCGATATTTTTTAAATTTTTTTTACTAAATACTGCTGTAACTTTTTCAAAAATGAATATATCAATATAAATTTTTTTTTATAGATACTTTATGTCTTTATTTGGTATATTTTTTTTGTAATTCTGACCCTTTATCTGCCCACAGCGGGTATTTAAAATGACAACTTTTTCATAAAAAATTTACTTTTTCAACTTAACTTTTGAAAATGTTCCGGAAGGTCTGACACTTTTATATATATCTTAAATTAAAGTTAATGTAATGTACTTTATTATAAAAAAAAAAAAATTTGACTTCTGGATTTGTCTTCGTGGTGAAAATGGCTACCGAATGCTATTTTTGTGTGAAAATTCTCGATTTTATTTTTTACATTTTTAACTTTATAATGCTATAACTTATTAAAAAGTGTATGGATCAACACAAATTTTTTATGAGAAATAATATTTTTTAATAATCCCTTTTTCATTCGACATACTTTATCTTAATCATTATATTAATAAGGAACTAGCAGATCATGTAGCTTTTGGAATAATACAACAATTTCTTAAAATTAAACACTATCTACAGATTTGCATCGAAGCGTTTTTTTTTTTATAGTGATTTTAATCACTGTCAGATATGATTATACTTGATCCAACTATGCCACGTCACCACTGTGCTGCGACCCCCCTGTGCTGGGTTTTTTTATTTTTTTAAATACTTTTTTTAAACATTTTTTTACATAGATTGAGAGAGAACATAGAACAAAATATATCGGAAGATCAGTTTGAATTTAGGAAAGGTTGAAAAACAGGAGAAGCGATATTAGGACTGAGACAGATCTTGGAGAGAAGAATTACGCTGAATAGAAATACTATAGCAACATTCATAGATCTAGAGAAGGTTTTCGATAAAGTAAATTGGAGAATCTTATTCATGATATTAAGAGAAAAAGGAACTGATTCGAAAGATAACCAACTTTTAGAAAGATCAAACGACAGAAATCAATCTAAATGGATTGGTAAAGGAAGCAAGAATAAAGAGAGGAGTGAGACGAGGATGCCCATTGTCGCCCTATCTATTCAAACATTTCATTGAAATGAGTATAGACATAATAAAAAAAAGTAAAAATAAATGGACAACATATACACTGTTTTCGCTTTAATGATGACGTTGTTATCTTAGACTATGAACATCACATGAATAATATGCTAAAATTCTATTAAGTCTTGATAAATTTAAAATGAATACAAATTCCATGAAAACCAAGACTATTTTTATAAGTAAAATGCACTCGAACCCAATTTTCAATATATAAATAAACAATATACGATTACAACAAGTCCGAGAATATTGTTACCTTGGAAGTATCATAGCTTCCAATAACAAATTAACACCACATATCATAAGAAGAATAGTATTGGCAAAGCAAGCATTCCAAAACAAGAATCAGCTTCTCACCAATAAATATCTGAGCATTGGCATACGTAAAAGATTCGTTAAAACATTTGTCTGGAGTGTACGTTCATATGGCACTGAAACATGAACAATTGACAAGAAAGATAGAAGCAAATAGAAGCATTAGAATTATGGATATGGAGAAAAATGGCTCTGACAAAATGGATAGACAAGAAAAGAAATGAGCAAGTGCTTGAAGAAATACGAGAATATAGACAGCTGATGAAAGGGATTGCATTAAGAAAAATAAAGTTAATCGGACACATCATCCGACACAATGACTTTATAATCAACATCTTTGAAGTAAAAATAACTAGGAAGAACCAAGAGGACGCCCAAGGAAATAATATTTTGAAAATATCGTGGAACTCATGGACTGTACGTCTTATATTTCACTGAATAATTTGGTGTCAAACAGAGAAAAATGACTTCAATGACAAGACATTAACTTTAATAAATGATGATGATCGTAATTTGAGATATTTTTCTAAATTTCTAAATTAAGGAGGTTTTTTCAAATTTTCGGCGACAATAGGTTCAACTAGATTAAAAGCGGATTCTTATGACGTATTAATCATTAAAATCAGCCCAGTAAGAGCTAACAGTTTTTGGAGAATAAAAAAAAACATATAGTTAAGCTCTGTCTCAGGCGTTCAGCTTCCTCCTTCTTTTTCAAGATGGATTCGGCGAACACCTGGACGAGCCTCCACGCCTCCCGGCTCCTCAACATCAGGTCCACCATGGACCCGACTCGGAACGTGGACCCTAGTCGAGACTCCAAAGAGTCCCGTTCCTGGGCCCACGCCTCGCACCGGAAGAGAGTGTGCAAAGCACTATCAGCCTCTCCCGGGCGATCCGAACAGTGGTCGCACGTCGGCGCGGCTGCTTTACGAATACGGTGTAAGTACTCGTTAAAGCAGCCGTGGCCGGACATCACTTGGGTGAGACGATAAGTCATCTCACCGTGAGTCCGGTCCACCCACCTGTCCAGCCGATCGGGTCCTATGAGGGACCTGGTCCACTCGCCTCTCGTTTCCTCCGAGAGGCGAGTCCGCCACCGGAACATGGTCATCCGCCTGAGCGCTAGCCGGTCCTCGGGTTCGAGGGACCGGTTTCGCTCTCGGCGGAGCTCATGCCCGGCGGCGCGTTCCTCGGCGAGCAGATCGGCGGGCGGCAATGACGACAGGATACCCGCCGCCACTCCGGACACCGTTCGGTACGCCGAAACAGTCCGGATCGCCGCCCGCCTTTGCACCCTGAGCAGGGCTTCACGGTTTTTGGACGAATACTCAAGAGTATCCGCCCAAACCGGGGACCCGTACAGGAGGACCGAGTGTACGACGCTGACTAAAAGTCTGCGCCGCATCTCTCTCGGCCCTCCCAGATTGGGCATGATTCCCGCCAGGCAATTCATGACTTTCTGGGCCCGTTGGGCCGCACGAGTAATGTGCGGCCCGAACTTTAGACGTTTGTCTATGACGAGGCCCAGATAAGTCATGGAGTCCTTAAGCGGGATCTCCACCCCCAGCACGGCGAGCCGTGGAGGAGTGAACTTGTACCTGCCCGTGAACAAGACCGCTTCGGTCTTGTCCAGGGCGAGGCTAAGTCCACTCCCCTCCTGCTGGATCCAGGCGGAGACTGCTCTGAGCGCGCAGTTTGCCCGGGATCCAGCCTCCTCGGACGAGGCGCCTTCCGCCACCACCAGCGTGTCGTCCGCGTAGCAGACGACACGCACGTGCGGTGGTAGCGGAACGCGGAACACCGCGTCATACGCGATGTTCCACAGCAAAGGCCCGAGAACTGACCCTTGCGGGACGCCTCCCGTAACAGGTCGGATTCTCGGGCCCGCGGCGCTCTCGTAAGAGATGACCCGATCGCTAAAGTACGACCGGATCATCCGCCCGAGGTAAGGAGGCACCCGAAACGCGTCCAGCGCTCCGAGGATGTGTGACCATCGCACGGAGTTGAACGCGTTTCGGATGTCCAGGCTCACCGCCAACCCGAAGCCCTGCTCAGTCTTGGCCCTGAGGGCCAAGTCCCTGAAGAGGGAGGCCGCATCGTCCGTCGACCTCCCCCTCCTGAAACCATACTGGCCCTCGGCCAGTCCGCCGACGTCGGCCAGGTGGGCTTCGATCCGGGTGACGAGCAGCCGCTCGAGGATTTTCCCCAAGTCGTCCAACATGCAAAGCGGTCGGTACGACGAGGGGAGACCCTCGGGCTTGTCACCCTTTCTCAGAAGCACCAGCCTGGCCTTCTTCCACTTCGTGGGGAATTCACCCTCCGAGAGGCAGCGGTTCGCGACGGCGCGTATCCAATCCGGGGCGAGGTCGTTTACCAACCCCCACACCCGGTTTGGAATCGCGTCAGGGCCGGGAGCTGTGTTCCGGCCCCGTACGCGCGCCACCGCGTCGGCCACCTCCTGGGTGGTGAATTCCTCCACCGACACGTCGTCCCCGAACGCAGGGGGAGGCAGAGGCGGGTGTGTCGGAAAGAGCGTGTCTACCGCCCTTTCCAGCACTTCCGCCTCCAGCTGACCGGAAGCCGGTGAACCGCGGAGCTTCCGCATAACGACCCGGTAGGGTTTCCCCCACGGGTCGTGGTCCACCGACTTCACGAGTTCGGCCCAGCACTTCGCTTTGGCCCGCCTGATGGCGAGCTTCAGCTCTTTGCGGGCCGACCTCAACGCCTCCCTAGGGTCCGGGGACTCCGGGTCCCGCGGCCGTCGGTTGGAGCGCGTCATGGTCCTCCTGACCCTGACGCACTCCTCACGCCTGGCCGCCACCTCCTCGGTCCACCAGTGGACTGGCGGTCCGCGAGTCGTCGGCGGTCGTTTGGCCGGGAGGGCGAAGTCGCAGGCTGCGACCACCCTCCGGTCCAACTCTTCCGCCGCTTCGCTCGCGGAGACGCGCCGGTCCGGTACCGCGGGCGCCGACCATTGAGCGAGCAGTAAGCCCGTCTCAAAAGCGTCGACGTCCGTGGCCGGTCCGACTCGCCAGCCCACTCGCCCACCGCGAGACGGCACGCGGGGCACGGCTCGAGGGGGACGGCCGCCATCGCCGCACTCGTACACGATGTACCGGTGGTCGCTGAGGTTTTCCCTGTACGGGAGAACCGACCAGCCGGTCACGTGCGGGTGCAGCGACGGAGACACCAGCGTGACGTCCACCACCGAGCTCGAGGAGTGACCCTCGAACGTCGGGGTGGATCCCCTGTTGGCCGATACCAGCCCGTGGGCCGACATCAGGTCCAACAGTTCTTCGCCACGCTGATTCGTGTCCGCCGACCCCCAAATCTTTTAACATATAGTTGAAAATAATCAAACCAGTGATAGCTGAGAAAAAGTGGCAATAGACACAGAATATAAATAACGACATGTAAACTTTAATACCTTTTTAGTTGATCATCAAAGCTAAAAATACATGATTTGCTGAATCAAATTTATAATCAATAAAAACTTACTCTCCAAATCGATTATGCGTCAAAGGCTCATCACTAATATCAAATGTAAAATACATATGTATTAATATTGCAAAAACAATTACGAAAATTATTTTAGACATAATAGATTTTGTTTCTAACAAAAATGTTTATTATGTAATTAATTGAAGCAAGTTAAAACTAATTTTTAATTTATTATAACGCAATTTTAGTTCACTGTAAAATGATAAAATGTATTACAATTTTATTAAACGTACTTTAAATAGTTATTTAATGTCTATTGAAAAATTATTTTTTTTTTAATTATTTATTTAGCTATTGACATACATGATGTCATAATTCATAGTGATAATGTTTTTGAACAAAGTCTAACTGAAGCAAAATTATAATATAAATGGTTTCTTTAATATGCTTATTGTGTTAATTCATACAACTTTCAATTGTTTACCAAATTTAGTAGACAAAATTCAATTATAACGTTTGTTCAATGATTTAATTTAAAATTTTATATTTTTAAAACTCTAAAAACATAATTTCAAATTGGGTTGTAATTTAGTTTTATTCATAAAAGTAAATAATATAATTTATGAAATGATTATTTTTAAGCTTAATATTCTTCACTAATGAATTTTAAACTCCCTATATGATAAAGTGAGGTAATGTTCTTAAAAATTTATTTACCAATGATTTACGTCACTTGTTGTGTCCTCGGACTACACAGAATTGCCGAAGAAATTCGCGGATAATTTGATACAGTTGATGAATTAATATAAAATATGAAAAATATTTTGTAACGTTTCATCTCGTGTTGAATTATTTAAATTGCATGCTCTAGGTATAAAATTATTCCCTGAATCAATTATTATTCGTTGGGAGTCTTGAATAGAGGCTACAATTTATTATTGTATACATTTTAAAGAAATTCATCGCGTTGTAATCTGACTAAATGAAAATAACTCAGACAATGTCAAAAAATTTAACATAACTATAAGGAAACCAGGATTAAAAGCCAATTAGGCTTACAAAAAATGTAATTTTGAAATTCTTACCAAAGCTATTACAGAACTATAAAAAAAGATGTTTTGCTGTGTGATTCATTAATAGTGGTTCAAAATGTACAACAGAAATTTTTTACATTAAAGGTAATCACAAGAAACCAATTATTACCAAACTAAATAAAGTTTTAAAAAAAAAATGATGGCTTGAGAATTATTGAAAATATTTTAAAAATACTCAATGGTGAAGATGGCAATGTACTATATGACTTCAGGGATTTTCTCGGAGACTATTCAAGTGATGATATAGTTTATCCTTAATATGCGCCTATTACATAGGTTGATGTCGAGCGCACATTCTCAGCTTATAAAACAATAATGACGAACACTAGGCGATCTTTTTCATTTGAAAACCTTAGAAAACACTTAATTATCAATTGCAATAATAAAGGTAAGAAACAGCTTTAAGTAAATATATTTTTTTGATAAACTATATGAATGGTTTTTCAGCTATTACTTAAATACATATTTTTTTTTGTTAACGGTTTTATTGTAGTTTTGGAAAATAGGCACAAATATCTAGTATTTATAATTATAAGGGGACATTTTTAAGATAATAATAATAATTATTTTTGATAAAAATTATTGTTTCTTTTAACATAATCTAAATATTTGTAAATTGAACATTTTTTCAATTAAACTTGGGATAAATTGATATATGTTAACTTTATCTAGGTTTTGCTTAAAAAATGTATAACATATGTAGTCCTTAATTGTATTATACAATTTTGTAATTGATCTACCAAATAAATATTTGTCAATAATTTGGAGTATAAAAATTATTAGGTTTTTTTTTCACTAATTGATTTAGTTAAACTAATTACAAACAAATTATTTTATATGTAGACATTTCATATACAAATAATGGAAAAAAAAACTTTCACCTTTTTATTATATTTTTTCAATAAAATATTTTATACTACTCTGAATTGAATAAGACTTAAAATTTCAAATGCATTTAATTCGTTTTGTTTTGTTTAGCTTTTACAATAAAAGTTTTTATTTATTCCCATTGAAGTTAATACCATACGCTGTAAAACAACAACACTATATCCTTCATCTATAATAGATATGAGTGCTATTTAAATGAAACGCATATGTTTCATTTAAATTATATTCCAAAAAAAGGTACTTTGTTTGGTTAGTATATTTAAAATTATTTAAATAAAAAATTCTCAGCATTGCTGATTTATTTTAAATACAATATTTTGTTTTTATTAGTTCAAAATGATATCAGAAGAATTTTAGGATATAATTAACGCTATACACTCGAATACATTCGATTACTCTTCAAATAATACTTACGTTAAAACATTTTTTTACAATTAATTAGTTACATATATTTCGTGATTTATTAATTATTAAATTTTTAATTCATTCCTTATACCATATTAGGACATCAACTTTCTTTTTTTTTAATGATAATATACATATTTAACTAGCTTATAAAATAAAAAATTATCAAATAAGATAGTTACTGGTCGATGAAAACTTTTGACCCATTATTTCGGAAATAATTAAAACTTTCATACCTTTACGGGAGGAGAAATGTGGCTGCAAAATGTATAATGATAAATATTGCCATACCCGCGCCTCACATTTAGACTATATTTTAAAATGGTATTAACTTCCATAATAATGAATGAAAGGTTCTTATCGACCAGTCATTTCTTTATTAAGATCATTCGCCCCAGTCACCGTAGCTGCTAAGTCACCAGCCTTTTTCCTTAACGTAAAGCCATTCGCTATAAGCTGCATATATTATTTTATTTTATGCATTAATTAGTTATAAATAATAAATACTAAAACTATATCGAGGAATTACTATTCTTTGCAATAGTATCCATTTGTATTAGCAAAAATCGGAAAACTCAGTTTGAATGGTGCAAAATCATATTTTATTGGACCGTTGAAAAGTGGAATTTGGTACTATTCAGCGATGAATCTTCGTTCCAACTCTTTTCTAATCGACCAAAACGAGTGAGATGAACGAGTAGTGAGAAATATAAAAGCAATTGTCTTGCCGCAACATAATAGAAAATGCTTGGGATCACATTGAGAGCATGATCAAAGATAAAAATGTGCGCTATCTCGATGAGTTAGTAAAAAGAAATAGTTCTTGCTTGGTAAATTTTAAGTAAAATTAACTGTGGGAAACTTACAGAATCTATGGTAAGAAAAGTTCAAGCTTGTTATAAAGATTAAGGAGGAGAATTTAATAATAAATAATTTAACTTATAAACTGTTGATTAAATCCCTATAATTATTTCATGTTAATAATAATAATAAAATATGTCATTTTATTTTATGAAATTAAAAAAAAAATTTGTTTAAAATATTATAAAGGTTGTAAATTTGTAAAAAATATAATATACTATTTTATTTTGTAAGTTTCTAAGTATCTATATTACGTTGTTAAATAAATTAGTTAAAATAACATAAAATATGTGTTTTCATGTGATTTTTACATAGCATATTGAAAAATGAACTTATTGGACAGTAAATTATCAAAAATAGCTAATTATATTGTATTTAAAAATTCTCATTATTTGCTTGTGATATAAATATTTTTGACTGGATTGACTTAAACATTTTTTTCATCAAACTTAATTACCCAAATAACATATAGAAAAAATATTACGCAATTGGATGTTAGTAAATGTTAGAAAGCTGTTAAAATAATTTAATGATTGAAATTCGTTGTATTTGCAAAAATAACATTTTTAACGGAAATGTACGTAAAAATTAAGTTGCAAATCGAACTAATGCAAAATAAGAAGTTTTCTATTGACTTTATAAAAACATTACATAAAGAAAAAAGTTTCATGCATTTACTTGACGGTTTAAACGTTCACGATGACGTACAAGCTTGAAATCTAAACGCATGAATATAAAATTTGGGGGTGTCTTATAATTTTGTCCACTACTATATTTCATACATTATCAAGTTCATTCTTTTATGCTCAATATTATTTACTCATCTAAAAGTTGACTACTATGGCCTATTAATACATATAAGACCGTTAAAATAATCATAAATTAATGACAAATTTATGAACCTTAGATATAGAAGATGCTGAAACGAAATTTTAAATAATTAAACATAATATGTTCTAAATTTTAATATAAACCAAAAAGAAAAAATTCTATATTGTAGTTATAATTGTCATTAATAATTAATTATGAATGTCTCATAGTATAAACATATCAAAGGTTATTTTTTTCGTAGTAAAGAAATAAATAATAGAAACACATTTTTCTAGAAAACATAACAAATATATATTTTAACATAACTCATTATTTAATAAACAATTGAATTGAAAAAAAATTAATTACTGATAAATTGAATAGTATATGAAATTAAAAAATACCAAAAATAATGTACTTAAGATAATTATAACTTTAGGATAAATCCAGTGGCTAGCATTAATAGAATTATAGAATTTATGTACTTGTATGAAGAATATTATTAATTTATCTAAAAGTTTACTACTATGGCCAACTAATACGTAAAAACTGTTAAAATATAATTTTTAATAATCATGCACACATGATTTACGTTTAAATAAAAAAATAATCTAACATGCAGATATTATCGCCCTAAATTATAACAGATGAATTCATAAATAAAATGTGGCTTGTACTTTCGTTAAGATCAACATGTTCCTATGTATTTCATACGCTGAATCCGAATTTGCAGTAATTTTAGCTTATACACTCTCAACATTTTAATAAAATTGTAATAATTTGCTAATATTTTAAAAATTTGTAAAAAAGTAAAAAAATGCTAATATAAAAAAATAAATATCAAACACAAGTTTTTTCTATAAAAAAAAAACAAATATATTTATTAATATGACTCATTATTTAATATACAATTTAAATAGGAAAAATTATTTTTTATAACCCAAAGGTAAAGCTCCATAATTGGATGGATATGATTCGTAGTTGTATGGGTAGGCTCCATAACTGTATGGTAAAGTACTAAAAGGATAAGCACCGTGCCACTTGTTGGCTGCTCTAGAGAAAGGAAGTTCAGTTGCGAAATGTGCTTCTGGGTACAAGGAATGTGGGTAAAAGGAGTTACGGAAGAGAGAGTGTGGGTATGCTGGGAATGAGTATGCAGATTTTGCGAATGGGGCGAAAGGCTTTACGTTAGGGAAAAAGGCTGGTGACTTGGTAGCTAAGGTGACTGGGGTGAATGGCTCTACGTTAGGGAAAAAGGCTGGTAACTTGGCAGCTACGGTGACTGGTGCAACTGGAGCTAAAGCTGGAGCCACTGGCGCTAATTCGCTAGCTGGAGTACGGACTACGTCGGCGTTGAAACCAGTGATAGGGTCGGCATAGTAGTTGACTGTACGCATCATACCGTCGGCGTCCAAGGTACGGTAAAAGCCGCTGACAACATCTCCGTTCTTAACTTGAGTGTGTTCTTTGTTGTCGCCGGTAGCTGGGTCATTGACGCCGTATGAGAATTTGAAGTCGGTGGGCTTTGCTAAATCATCGGCACATGCCATGCAGACGCTGGCAGCCAAAACTAACATCACCTGTAAATAGTTATTTAGAGTTAAGTACTTAAGTTTATGAACAAATATTCATTGTAATTATAACAGTAAATGTTTACTTACGGAAAGGCACTGCATGTTTATCTGGAAAATACTGTTTTGTTGTGTTAACTGAATTATTGTTAAATGTCGAATGATATATTTTGATATATTTTCGCTCTTTAAATACTTAAATCTAAATTTGGTATTTTCTTTTTCCCCCCATAAAAATGTCAAAATGATATCATTTCGTTTTGAAATTAAAGGTTCGATAGGTATTTGATATTAATTAATGAATTTGAAATGTAAACGAAGTAATACTGGTCTTACAAGTGATTAACTAGTATTTTAATAAATTGTATTTTTATGTCTCAACTTAAAAATAGTTTCGGAAAAACTTAGGAATGATTACATTTTTATTTTTAATAGATTTGCATAAATAATTATGGTGTATTATACATTACCATAATCATCAATGACAAGTAATGTATTACAATAGATGTGTTTATATGTTAGATGCTCAATTTAAAAGTAGTAATCTAGTTTTTTTTTTAATATATACTTTTTTCTCGTTAGGTTTTAAATCAATCTAATTAGTTAAGTTAATAAATTTAAAAAAAAACCCAGCACAGGGGGGTCGCGGCACAGTGGTGACCTGGTATAGATGGATCAAGTATAATGATATCTGACAGTGATTAAAATCACTATAAAAAAAAAACGATTCGATGGAAATCTTTAGATACTGTTTTATTTAAAAAAATTGGTGGACTATTCCAAAAGCTACATGATCTGCTAGTTCATTATTAATATCCTAATTAAGATAAAGTATGTAGAATGAAAAAGGGATTATTATAAATATTATTTCTCATAAAAAAATAATGTTGATCCATACACTTTTCAATATGTCATAGCATTATAAAGTTAAAAATGTAAAAAATAAAATCGAGAATTTTCACACAATAATAGCATTCGGTAGCCATTTTCACCGTGAAGATAAAATAAAGTCCGAAATTTTTTTTTTGCATAATAAAGTAAATTACATTACCTTTAATTTAAGATATATATAAAAGTGTCAGACTTTCCGGAACACTTTCAAAATTTAAGTTGAAAAAGTTCTACTTTCTACATGCATTTTTTAGATTTGAACCCCCCTCGTATATAGGGAAATGGTCGGATTTAAAAAAACAGTATGTCAAATGAAAGATGTATATAAATACTACTCCTCATAAAAAAATTGTACTGATCCATACATTTTTCAAAAAGTTATAGCATAATAAAGTTAAAAATGTAAAATACAAAATCGAAAATTTTCACACAAAAATAGCATTCGGTAGCCATTTTCACCGTGAAGATAAAATAAAGTCCGAAATTTTTTTTTTGCATAATAAAGAATATTACATTAGCTTTAATTTAAGATATATATAAAAGTGTCAGACCTTCCGGAACATTTTCAAAAGTTAAATTGAAAAAGTTGTCTTTTTAAATCCCCCCTTGTGGGCAGGTTAAGGGTTAAATTTATGAAAAAAATATACCAAACGAAAGGTAATGATATTACACATTTATATAAAAAAGAATTATATTGATATGTTCATTTTTGAAAAAGTTATGGCACTTTTAAGTAAAAAAAATTGAAAAAATTTCGAAAATTAACGATTTTTAAATTTGAAATTTTTTTGGAGGTTTCCCCCATTTACGGGGAACGAGGGCATTATTTTCAATTTTTGAGGGTAATGTCTTTGACTAGATACAATTTGTGATCTTTTGACGTATCATTGAAAGAAATTGGTTCGGTGAGAGCTGAGAAAAAGTGGTAACAGACACAAAAAAAAAAAAAAAAATAAACACTTCTTAGTAAAACCAATACCTTCTCAGCTTCGCATCGAAGCTAAAAATTGAGAAAACTTCATAAACTTTTTAACGTGTTTAAAATATTTGGAATTATTTATTTTTTCCATTTTTTTGAACTCGTAAATCTTATATTATATGATTATAATCATTAATAATAATTATTATTGCACTGATTCACTATTTTATTTTTCGATTGTATTTTTTTATGATAAAATATTTTAGTGTTAAGCGCTTGTGGTAAACTAATATAGTTTAATATCAAATCATTTAGTATTATTAATTGATCATCAAGAAAATTAGTTTATGAACATCTCCTTTTTTAATCTAATTAAAATTTACTGATATATATTTTATGTTATGAAACATTTTACTTTGTTACAATCGTTTGATCTATATTTTATGACTATATGAAATACTAAAAAAAATATATTGTAGAATTTTTTGAGTTAATTGTATAGATAAGGTTTTTACTATCATAATTGTTTATCAAAAGTTTTGTGTTATCAATATCTCGTGTATGTTTACTTGGTTTATTGTTTTCATTTTTTGCTAGTGTACAACACAGTACACATGTGGTTTTGTAAAATGTGTTTTTTATTGATTGTAAATCAAACACAAAATGTGATAATTTTACAATCATAGTATTGAATTTTATAAAGATTTATTTTTAATCATATACTATCTTCTTTTTCTTTTCCTCACCTTAATCCAACTACTTGGAATCGACCACCTTTATCCTGAACTTCCACTTGACACGATCTCCCACATCAGCCGTCCTCATATCGCATTCAATTACATCCCTCCATATTTTTTTTTGTCTTCCTCTACATCTTTTTTCTTCAACATTCATTTATAAAACTGTTCTTACAGCTTCCGATACCTCTCTCCTCATAACATGACCAAATCATCTAAGTCTTTAGCATTCACTATAAAAAAAGAAATCATATATTCATATGTTTTCGTAGATTAAGGAAGATAAACCTAAAAACAATTTTTTTATGAAGCCATTGCCTGTTGTAAACTACAGTAATGGATGTTTGTAATGATTTATATTACATAATATTTTAGAATGATATTAAATGATTAACATAAATTAACTAAATTGATTTTTAATTACATATTTAAAATTCACCTCTTGCAATTAATTCCTAAAATTGCTTTGTTTCTTTTTATGTTGTGGACTATTATAATTTTGAATAGTTTTACGAGGTGTAAACTATGACTATATTTTTCACTAGCCATTATTCAGTCACAATCTTCATTTCGCTCAGATATTAAAATATTTATTTTTAATATTTTCTGAAATAATGAATCGGAAAATAATATTATCATTAATAATCTCGTTTCTACTTTCTAAGTTAGTTTTAAAATTTAAAACTAACTATTGTAAATACATTTAATGTATTTTGGCATTACGATATTAGAGTTGATACATAAGGCTAAAATATTACATAGTTTTTGTTAAGCGCATAGCGGGAGTTTTTATCATTGAGTTGATAATTCAGACATTTATAGGTTATATGGTAATAATCTATAAAAAGATCTTTAAAAAGATTAATTAAGGAATTCAGTTAGAATTTTTGTTTTTCTTTCTTGGTATGTCTGCTTATTATTTCATGAAGAATTTATACACCACTTGTATATGAAGTGATTAATTGCAATTATAACTAAAAAAGAAAATTTACAAATTGATACAAATTTATTAAGAACATCATTTACTCAGGAACTAATAATAATTAAATTTTTTTTTTTCTCACGATTTTCATTTTAGTAATTTTTTTTTGAATTGTGAAATATTAATTTTTGGCATTTTTTAAAAATTTTAACTAAAACTACCATTATTGATGAAAAATGAACGAATGTATACAAATTTTTTTAAAAAGTTAAACTTTTTTAACTTAATATTTAATTATAAAAAATTATATAAAAAACTATAAGTTAAAAAAAAATTGTCCCAACAACTTGTTCTCTATATTTAAACGGACCCTGGGGTAAAACAAAAAGTTCAAATTATATAAGAAATCACAGATTTTTGAATTATTGTATTTTTTTTACTTTAATTTTTATATATCATTATCTAACATTCAATTTAATTATATATGTTTATTCATACTTAGAAAAAAATGGTTATTTGGTAGGAATCTATAAACGGATCTTTAAAAAGATTAATCAAGGGATTCAGTTAGATTTTTGGTTTTCTATTTTCTATGTCAAAACCGATTTTTAATGGTACTTTTAATAAAAGGTACTTAAAAAACTACTACTTTAATAGTTGTTTTTTTCTATGTTAAAATGTATTTCATATTTTATAAATATTTTCTTGTTTGGTTTTATTAAAAAATTACTAATAGGGAGATTTACATTATTCGTAAATAATTATTTAGATTTTAAAAATAAATCAAATGTAAAATTATTGATTTTAAAAAGGAATATTTTTTAAAAATCATCATTTATTACATTAAAAATCTTAAATAAATATATATTTAAGAACCTAATTAAATATCGTTATTTTTAAACAAATAGATTTCAGTTTTAATCTATGTGAATGAAGTACATACTTTAGAAATTAATATATACAAGTAATATTATTTCTTAGTGAAAGACTATAAATAAACTGTAGATAAACCGAGGAAAAAAAATAAAATAACATGTGTGTGATAATATATGTTTATTGTCACTTTCATTAAATAAGACATAACTGACAATAGACAAACAAATTGTATGTTTAATAATTAAAATTATTTAAAAGAAATTAATTGAAATACATGGAAAACAAATTCAATGTGTTTATTTCTTCTTCATCAATTCGATTGGTTCTACAATGTCGGATTTGTACGATGAAAGGTAAGAAGGAGCGTATGGCCATTCTGGAACTGCTGTCTTGGCCAATGGATAATAGCTTGGTAGAATAGACGATGTAGTATAAGAATAAGATGAAGGAACAGTCTTAGCTATTGGATAGTATGAAGTTGGTAAAATAGATGATGCAGCATAAGGGTATTCAGCAGCTACAGTTTTGGATAATGGATAGTAAGGTGCTGCAGCATAGGGATATTCTGAAACGGCAGTTTTGGCTAATGGATAATAATGTGCTGCAGAAAATGGATATTCTGGAACGGAGGCCTTGGCTAATGGATAGTAAGGGGATGGCACAATAGGTAATTCTGGATCTACAGATTTAGCTAAAGGGTAGTAAGGAGAGTGTGTGTACGAATATTCTGGAAAGGCGGCTTTAGCCCATGGGTAATAGCTTGGTAAAACAGATGACGCAGCATATGGATAATCGGCAGCTACAGTTTTGGCAAAAGGATAGTAAGGTGCTGCAGCATATGGATATTCTGGAACAGCAGCCTTGGCCAGGGGATAGTAAGGAGATGGCACAATAGGTGATGTAGTGTGGGCATAATCAAGAGTTACAGCTTTAGCTAATGGAGCATAACGAGCTGGTGACATTGAAGATGATGAATAAGAATGTGATGGCAGTGTTACTGGTTTGGGCAATGTTGGTAATCCATAATTGTATACTGATGGGATGGCAGATTTGTATAATAGACTATGAGGTGCAATAATATCTTGGGCGAGTGCAAAGCCTACACAAGCGGAGAAAAGTGAAATTACCTGAAAAATGCATTGTTGATATTAATATCATTTGATAAAAGTATTAAGTTACATATGATAATCATTAAAATGTATAGAATACAAATAGGAATCTAATGTTCAGTTAACAGGATTAAACTTTAAATTTAGTTGAAATTTAATATTTTTAATTTATTGTAAATTTTTTCATTTTTCAAAAGCTTACGAGTAAATTAAAGTGTATTATGAAATGTTAATACTTTAAAAAATCATGTTTAAAATTTAACTTTGTAGGAATTATAGAAGTCAAATATTTGTTTAGATCATCTAGTTAAATTTAATGATAAATAATTTTTAAGATATAATGTTATTAATTAAATACATTTTTATTACTCACTTGAATGGTTTGCATTGTCGTGTATTGGTTTTTTTTATAACCAATAATTATATAAATGCTTCGAAAGGAGGTTCTATACTGATTACAATTTTCGGTGCTTTCTTATATAGGTACATTATTAATCCACCCACCAATTATATTTTCATAATGAATTTTTTAAAATACACATTGATTTAATAAAATTTCGACATTTTCTGAAAAAAAGTTTTTTGGTGTGGGTGCAGTTTTTAATAGTTTTTTTACTATGGCCAACGGCAAACATTTAGTGAACAATAAAATAAATAATTTTCTCGAACCTTTTAGTAAGTATTTTAATTTTGTTATTTTAAATAACAAATCATTAAATGCAAAAACATAAAATTTCTAGTGTTAATGATATAAAATATATATAATAATATTTTATAATCATAAAATAATAACAACATTTTTATAATGTTGTTTTTTATAAATTCTGTAATTAATTATACCATATTTTAGTTTGCAAAATTCTATGAACCTGAATAAAACAAGCATAATTTTTTGCCTTAAAATCAAAATATAATATTTTTATTTTAGGTCTAAAATAATATTTAATAATTTTATCTCTAAGAGGAATTTTACTATAAATGTAATTAAAAGAAGGTAATGTTCATATTCATTAAATCATCAAATTTATTATTTAGTTTATTAAACCTTTCGATTTGATTGTTTAGAGTAAAAATAATTTTATTTATTAATACTATATTTTCTTTGTACTTTTCATTCATGTTAACAGTTACATTAAAACTAATTCAATAAAAAATGTGTACACTAAGAAGACTAAAAGTGGTCATACTAGGTTGTTAAATTAAACTTTTCATTTGACAGGTGTCGAGTTACAAATTTTGTTAGTAATATTATATTTTGTCTCTATGTTAGGTTATATGGAAATCAAGATATTTATAATGAGATTCTGTTTTCTCATAACATTCTCTAACAATGTCTGATTCTTACCTTTTTTTGTATAGTGTTTTTTTACTAAGGATCAAAAATTGCTTACGACAGCAAAATAAATAACGATAATAATTTATAGCCCTTTGAAACAAATTATGTAAATTAGAGGCAACCTCTAATATTTTGAAAACCAATCTAATGATAAATTTTTATTTTAAATATTTTTTTTTAAATACCAATACTTCATCAAATAAAAAAAAATTATTAAAATAAAATTACTTGAATTTTTTTTCTGTTATATATTATTTTTGTTATAAACAAAAATAATGGTTCCTATTAAAAAAATAAATGTTTAGGTTTTTTTCCATAAAGGAATGAAAAATAATGATTTAACCACATATCATTAAAACGATATTTGAATTAAACAATATTTAACTTCAAAAAATTGAAAATATTNTTTAACCACATATTATTAAAACGATATTTGAATTAAACAATATTTAACTTCAAAAAATTGAAAATATTTAATAGTTTCTGAGAAAATGTGTGACTTATTATTAATCTTTCATTCTGAATATAGTTACATAATACTATTAAAGATATCAATAATAATTAAACCTCGTTCGTATTGTTTTAAAATAAATTTAGTTTTAATATTAAAAATACATAAGTAATTTCAAGAAAATATTTATTAAACATTTTTCATAAATAACCCACACTATAAAGTGTCAAAAACATAACTTTTTACATAGTAGATATAATATTACATATAGTTTATTGTGCATCATATACATTTTATGACTAATAGTAAAAATAATTAATTAAATGTTATAAATTATAATTATGTTATTCATTTAGTTAATTAGTTTAATTTAAATATTTAAATTAATTATTATAATAATTTAATAAAACTATTTAATTATACTGCTGCTCCATATTTGAAATGTTTTTTTGTAAAGTAAGATCCTAATTTTTTTACAGCAGATACTATTGGATGTTTAATAGATTTGTGCCAAGACCATACTTTTGACAAGATTGATTTCGACGGAACTGGTGTTTCGAAAGTAGACGCATACCGATGAATAATGGCAGGTTCATAATGTCCATAATGAACTGGTGCCACGGGTTCATAAGCTATTGGTTCACTTGAATGGTAGAGTGGTACAGGGTGTTCAAACGCCACATTGGAATGGAACACCTCATCTGGAATATTTGATTCGAATGACTTAGCCGAATGGAATACTGGGAGTGGAATGCCAGATCTGTAGACGAATGGTTCATCGGATGGGATCATTGAAGCCGGTACAGCCGGTACGGGTGGATACATAGCTGGCACATCGTATTCATAGAAGTTAGAAGGCATTGGAAACGAAGAATCGACAACTATAGGCTTTTCTTGGAATTCATTACTTGTCTCCACTTTGCTGCTGCCAAAAGAACTTTTCGCGTCTTCGATTTTGAATTCTTTCTGTAAATCTAAGTTCATAGGATAACTGCCATCTTCCTGTGGGCTTGTAGAGGATGATTCTTCGGCATACGACGAAACAATGCTTAAAATGAGAAATAATAAAGCCTGCAAAAATAACCGACATTAGAATTTTCTACAGTTTTATTATTGAAAACATTAATTATTAAAAATAGAAAATTGTATTTCTTGTAAAATTTTACTTACACTAGTAGTTTTCATTATGACACTTCTAGCTTAGCCAAATATTTAGGAACTAGCGAAATAGATCAATTATTGTTGAATGTGCTCATGATTGTATCAAAATGACTTTATATAGTGTTTATGTTCTCCTCCCGAAAATAGGGCTAAAATATAATTAAAAATTTGTTTAATTATCCGGTTTTGAAATTACAATAAAAGAAAATTAAAAATCAAATATTTTTACTTTGAATTTAGCCTTTAGCTAATATTTTTGGAACATAAGTCACATGCAAATTATGCTACATGCAATTCTTGATTAATGTCCTCAGGCGTAAACCGTATTAGAATTGTTAACTCGTGAAAATTTTAATGATTTATTCTCATAATTGCCAACAAACTCGTTTTGCTTTAAATGATACACTTGTAGAACGCTATTCACTAAAACGAAAAATTCTTGTGATTGAAAAATTAATTATTTAATGTAATATAGTTAGTTAAAAAAATATATAATAAAGTAGATAGTACGAATCAAATAAATTGAAATTTGTCCAATATTTATATTTGTTTGGTTATTATTTTGTATTATGGAAATGCATTTAATTTTTTTTTATGATGTTATCTGGTTTTTATGATATTTAGTGTCACTTTATCTGTCAACTAATTCTACTGATTTTATCCATATTTTTAGATGCATAAAAGTTTATAATGGTAAATTGGTTAAGATAGAAAAAAACATCTTCCTGATTATAAAAATCATGAATATAAATATTATATATATATATATAAATATATAAACCCTTTTATGTTTAGATAATATGTTTCAGTGGCTCAGATATGACAAATATTTAATATGGCTCTTAAGATTCTTTTAAGCTCTAGTCTATATTTATAAGTGTTAATAACTTCAAAAGTATTGGGACAATAGTTAATATCAATCGATATCCTTAAATTTCTAATATATTATATGTATTGTGTTTCCATTTGATAATATTCTTTTAGAACAAATAAGATGTACATAAAAACTGATTAATAAATTCAACATTTTATGTACTTCTTTTTAAAGACAATTTGTAAATTCATAAAATTATTTTTATTTAGCGAACAATTAAGTGGTTTACGATAACAGAATCGTGTGCAAATTATATTGGTACTTGTTTAATTTTTCCAATCTTTTTAGCGTATAAAAAGAAAAATCTCATAACTAGTTTAGTATTATTACAGTATGCAAAGTTATAATAACAGTTTTAGTATTTTAAAAATCAAAATGTATTACATGTCATACATTTGTTGTTGGCCGTAATGACAACAACAGTAGTGTATTGGTCACTGACTGTCAAGTCCACATCTAGTCTGTGGTCACTTTATGTAGTATAACAGAATTTATTATTCGACTTCCTGTATGAAAAATATTCACTGTATATTATAACATTTTACTGACAAAAGTATTTTATTAGAATCTTTGTTTTCAAGTTTTGACATGCTTACTATGGTTCACTACGTATAGTAAGTAGTACACTCTAGAATCAATAACTAATAATTCAAATAACTATGAATAATAAAATACTAATCAAGAACTGATTTTTGAGTTAATTTTTTAATATATACTCTGTAATTATTTTAAATATTTTGGGGAGATTGGAGGAATAACGAGAACATATTTACCTTAAAATATCTACTAAAAATTAAATTACCCATAAATAGGGTATATTTTCTTCTGTGTCAAGCCAAAATTTATGTCTAAATAAAATGTATTGATTAATCAACAATTTTAATTTTTAATTTTTATAGCTTTTTTTTTACAAGTCCATTTTTTTTCAATTTTTTCTAACTTCAGAAATTACGTTTTAAAGATATATTACGGAAGGAATCTAAATGATCATGGTTGGAATAAATATAGATGATATTTGACACTGATTAACATAACTATTATAAAAAAAACTGAATAGTTATGTAGCAAATAGACTTATAACTAAACTTAATTTATATCTAATGACAGTTGAGTAGTCAACTGTTTAAGTACAACAGAACCTAATAATTAAGATGTCATTTTACCATATTTAGATAATATAACCTCAGAAGAGGCCATTGGCCGTAACTTATAAACAAAAAGGGATGATGATATTTGGGTAAAATGAACAAATACACGAGATTGTTAAAAACAGAACACACAAGAATCATTTTTTTTATTATAAAGTAAGTTTTAAGAGCTATACATTTAAAAATACAAACATTTCGGAAAAGTTTCAAAAATTAAAATAAAAAAAACTATGCGATTGTGGTTTGATCATAAGTGATCAATACTTATAATTATGGCGTTCTGGCCTTTTAATCATAATAAAGATTTGAACAAACTGATGCGGTCCAAGCCAAAAATACGCCTCATTGAGCTGGATATATTTTTTCTCAAAAAATGTATCAAGTTACACATGAATCTGAAGTTTGACAGATTACCAAGTAAGTCAAACAATAATAATATTTATTTTTCTAGTTCAATTAATATTTCTCAAGAAGAGTTTCTGCTGTTTTAATCACTATCGTAATATTAGTTGTTTTTTTTTCTAACTCTTCTTTTATTTTAGTATTTTTATTGGATTTTCACAAAAAGCATACTTAAAGAAAACTTATTACTTCTTGTAATTTTTTAAAAATTTTCTACAAATTTAATTTCAATATAATAATATTTATATTTATTAACATGAGCGCTAATCGAGGGTTTAGTTTCTCAAAATTAGCCCCTTCAATTTTCAGAAAAATTACATATATAATTGAATAAAAAAGTAAAGAAGGGATTTGGATTGAGTATATATAAAATAATCCCCTTCAACATTTTTATTGAAGTTATGCCAATAATTATTCACTTGAATATTTCTTTAATTTATGATAAAAGTATTCTTAAATAAATAACAATAGTTGTATAAATATCAAGTAAGATGACAATGTGTACCGCATTTCATAAATGTTAATAAATGTATTGGTTATGTTGGACGATTAAATAGGATTTCTTCATAGTATTTCCGGCAACATGGGTAAGAGTATTATGCCTTCAAACAAGTATCCTAATAAGAGTAAAATTCAATAAAATTTACATTTGAATTCAAAGTACTTCACACTGAAACATTACTACATTATTCATTTTGAATCTAAAAATGAGTGTAGATGTTTTATAAGTATTCAAAATCAAAAATAAATCATATTTTTAAAAATTATTTTATCACTACCTTAATAAAAAAAAAACCGATTTTGTTTCCCCACCTTAGATCTTTCAGGATCGACTTTCTTTATTTTAAGTAATCATGATAACGCTATGTTTAATTTTTAAGACATAAGCTATTAAAAATCGAAAATTACTTATTTTTGTTTAATAATTATTCTTAAAATACAAATATTATTATTAATTTTTTATTTATCATGAACATATCAACAGTAATTATGATATGATTGTTATATGATATTAAATCGATAATTTACCTAAAACAAAACATCTATCAATATTCAATTATTATAATCGTTGAATATTAAATGATGTATATAAAATTATTAACATTCATTAATAATTATTAATAATGTTATAATTATTTACATTTTAATTTAGTATTTTAAATCATGTGAAGTAATACTTAATATCCGGTTACTATGTAATTTTTATTATCCAGTAAAACATTAGTAAACAAACGTTGAACAATAATTAGTCGACAAAAACATCTAGTTAATAAACACATACTCGTCATAATCTACTTAATAAATAGAAAGTCTTGTATAAATTCTAATATATCTTACAAAAATAACAATCATGAAGTATAATTTATTTAATACAATAATCATTATTAATATTATATCTAAATATGAATATTATTTATAACTTCTATTGTGAAATGAATAATAACCAATATTAATCAACTAAAAGTTTGTTTTAATTATAAATTGTCTACAATAAGAAATTAAAAAAAAATGTATCCCAAGTAACACTCATCAAAAGATTATACATTGTAATTAATAACCTAACGTTTATTCTCATTTAATAACATTAATTTTTTAAATAATCATATGTAATTCACTAGTTCCAACCATTTGAAGGTGCATACATTTGTTGATAATGATAAAATTGATTGTATGATTCGGGTAGATCTTGAAATTTCGTCATATACGAATACGGAGTCGAAGGCAATGGATTATACATATTTGGTGATGATGTGAAAGGGAAAATAGGTGAGGCGGTAGATTTTAAGGAAGAATGTATAGGCGTAAGGTCATACGATAATGGTGACATAATAGAAGACGTAAAATGAGAAAATTCTGGAACATTTGATTTTAAAAATGATGATTCCGATTGATCATAAAAATGTGATATTGATGGTGGGAAAATATCACCTTCCAATGATTTTTTTATACCTGGTGCTAAAATCCCAATTGGTGGAACGGGTAGTAGAATACCTTCAATTAATTTGGATTTTAATTCTGATGAAATCTCTTCTACATTATTTATATCAATATTATTTTTTCTTAATAAATCGCTGACTTCAGGACTTGGATAGTAATCTCCTGTTCTAATATCTTTTTGGTCCTTCGGTTTTTCAATATTGGTGTTATTTACTCGAGGAATACTTGAATTCGATAATTGTTTTGTATAAATTAAGCAAACGTTCAGAGAAATGAGTAGAAGTGTCTAAAAATTATAAAATTCAAATTTAATTAATCAAATAATAATATTACATTTATATGATTGTTATTGTAATTATAAAAATTAAACATTTAATTTAACATTCTAAATTTGTTTTATTACATTGTTGTCCAGTATTTCCTATTCAAAGTGATTCATTCATCATTAACCACTTCATAAATATAATGATAGTACTCATATTGGTTTATTTTAGTTCATAGTTTTTCTCAATTTATCAACATTCATAATTAACCATTTTATTTATTACATATTGATCTAATTAAGAAAATTACTGTTCGGTATAAACTTTTGAAACAATATTATAGAAGTTACTAACATTTTAATATCTAAACGAGAGAAGTAGCAAGACCGAAAAATATTTAACGATAAAAATAGCAGCACCTGCGCCTCTCCTTCTGTGATTACTTTCAATTGTTAATAACTTCTCAAATACTAATCTAAAAATTGTTATTGGACAGTCATTATTTTAATTAGATATTTATCTAATAAAATAGCTAGTTAATTATGTATGTTACCATTTGAAAAAATAAAATTAACACCTTTATTAGGTGTACGGGATTAGAACTAAAAGAGTCTAATAAAATACTTATCAATATATATATTATTTTTCAATTAATTAAGTAGTTCACGAAAAAATTTTATATATTCCTGAAAAAAATATTTTATTTAATGTTTTATAGCTAATTTACAATAATTTAAATAGTAACAAAACAAATTTTAAATCCTGTAAATATCTTTGTATCTTATCTTTGTAAAATTATAAAATATTAATAGAACCATCTGCAGGTCACGATGTATTTATTGTTAATTTACAATTTATTTTTTAACTTAACGAAAAATAATAAAATCTCATTGTGTGATTTTCCATGGATAGTATATTATAATCTATAATTAAATTTTCCAATGAAATTACATAGTCAGAATATAAGTATTAATTTCCAGAAGTTACTTCCATTGAATAAAAATTAAATTAAGTATTTTAATTAAGTATAATTAAGTATTTGAAAAATTGCGTGTTAATCTATTTAGAGTGCGATTCAACATTTGGTCGCAATAAAATATATGAAGAAAATTTACTTACGCTTGTGATCTTCATAATGATTTTATTTATTTAAGCAACAAACGTATGCTCTTTATATACTCTTAAAATGTTATGATTCATTCTTGTTTATTAAATCGTTTATTTGTAAAACATAAATGTGGAAATAATAACTATTTTCATTACTCTCATATAATTAAATATATTGATATTGAACATAAAGATATATACCCTGTGGAAATTTGTTTTTGCTTTTCTAAGTTCAATTTACTTCAGGCATATTGTATCGTATTACTAACATGTTTAAAGAATAATCAGGTTGAGTTTATTTTATGACGTAGATGAATTTTCCAAAGTAATTAAAATGTCTTCTATGTTGACTAATGAAATATATGTATTACTTATAAAAACATTTATATAATAGAATAATTACACAAATATCTTGATTTGGATTTTCAACCTCATGTTTTCAATTTTAGCCACGATACGAAGCTGAAAAGATATTAAAATTGTGTGTTCTTTGTCAGTTATCAGTTTTTCTCAGTTTTTACAATACCGATTTTACTTAACACCAAAATATCACAAATTAAATCTTTGTCATTCGAATTTACTTTTCATGAGTCAAAACATGTCCTTTATTTTATTCTAGATAATAATATATTTGGGAGAAGACAATCGCCATTTATTTTCTGATATTTTATTGTAATGAACAAATTAATTTAAATAATTAAAAATTCTACCATAAGTTTGAAGATTATTTCAAATCATTATTAGCTCTTATTTTTTAATGTAATAATTTATTTTGTTTAAATATATTTTATGAATTTTTAATTTTATCTTTAGTAGTTTATCTGTAGTAGTTGGCGATCCTTAAAAATTTATTGGTTTATAGAATTTATTTATATTGTATAAAAATATCGATCTATCTAATAAATCAAAAATAATATCGATTTTTCAAAAAGACGAATTTCTATATGAAAGGAACTAGTTTTGATTAATTTGTAACAAATTATACATAAAAAAGAATATAATACTGAATTTTTTTTTCTTCAAATTCCTAATATGCGGGTGCCAGTGTAAAGTATTTATTTTATGAAAATATTCCTAGACATCTGAAACCTTTTTTGAAATTTTTTAAGAATATTTCAACAAATATTTCTTATACATTTTAATATCATCAAATCATTAAAAATTACATAATTTGTTCTAGTTAATGTTGTTATTATTGATGTTATCAGTATCAACATATTAAATATATTTTCATAATTTAAGACTAAATAATAATAATTTAAAATTATTTAAAAATTGATAATTAATTTAATTATAATTTAAGACTAAATAATAATTATTTAAAATTATTTAAAAATTGATAATTAATTTAATTATAATTTAAGACTAAATAATAATAATTTAAAATTATTTAAAAATTGATAATTAATTTAATTATAATTTAAGACTAAATAATAATAATTTAAAATTATTTAAAAATTGATAATTAATTTAATTATAATTTAAGACTAAATAATAATAATTTAAAATTATTTAAAAATTGATAATTAATCACTATTAAAATAATTTTTGTGAGTTTACAAATGATTATGGTTATTCAAAATAAGTTTTATATTACTAGTCTTGATAAATAATGTCCTTAAAGAGACAAACAAGATATTTAAGATAAATAGAAAATTCTATAAATTGTACAGTTTTTTTTAAAAAATATGAATGTATTAGGTTGAGGGAATTTTATAATAATGTAAAGATAGTTTGGATCAAATAATAGACTTGAACATTCATTATTTGTAGCTATTTTACTTATCCACAATATAACTATTTTGAGACGTTTAATTTTAAATTTAAAATTTTTAGGTTTTCCAGTTTGTAAGAAGGTGCTGACATTTCAAATTCCTATCATACAACAAGATATTTGCTTGGTAACAACCTGATGTACCTCGTTTCGTATACATTAAGTCGTTTCTATACATTTTATCATTAATTGAACTGGTCATTTGTTGAATATTTATTAGGGTTTATTTTTTCAGAAACTGAGTAAAAATTTCATCTATATACAGATATTTTATATGCAACATATGTATTTTTAAATACAACATTCTCCTTTTCAAAATATGCCTAATACTATCCTAGTTTGAGTAAAACTCGGAATTTCATAAATCACTTTTTTTTGTGATTTATTCTTTAGCTTATACAAAAAAAAAATAATTATTTTTATTCATGCTCAAATTAAATATTTACACCACAAAACAACAATATAAAAAAAATATAAATATGATATAAAACATTATAGTTGGGTTAATATAATTAAAATTAATTCCATAAAAAGTTCGCATTAATATTAAAAGCATTGTATGTCCTTCTATAGTATAAACTACTTAACGTATGGAAGTTTCAACGTATTGATTATAATCAATAATAAAAATTTAATAATTATTAAATCATCACTGTTAATATCATATATAATTTGTCTTAACTATGCCGTGTGCAAACTATGCTAGGTTATAACTTCTACAGTTTCATCTTTCGCCCCTTTTTTTAGGTCCCCTTTTAGGTCTCGTCGATTCTATTTCTTTTAAAAATACGTTAAAAAATCACAAATTGAGTATAAAAGTTGTTCTCTGTAAATGAAGGAAATCCCCAAAAAATTTACGATTCTTACAATTAATTGACATTTTTTAAACATTTTTTTGCTTAAAACTGTCAACTTAAATATTTCTCTTCCATTTGATTTATGTTTTTGAAAATCTTACCCCTTTAATCGTCCAAATGATGTTTCAAAACATCAACTATTGTACAATAGGTAACTTTTTCAACTTAATTTTAGAAAAATTTCCGTAGTAAAAATTTTGAAAGAAACTTAAAAATATATTAAATTAAAGACTCTATTACGCATTAAAAGTTAAAAAAAAAAATTTGTCCCGATGACTTATCTTCTATATACAAATGGCTACCATAGTTAGAAAACATACTATTATTGTATTTAAATTTTAGATTTCACATTTTATTCATCCAGCATACTTTTTTTTTTTAATCAGACAATATCTCCTAATACAAGGGGTGCGGTCAAAATATACTAATAAAAAGTATAACTTTATCAACTTAATTGTAAAATATAAATTGTAAATGTTCAGGAAATACCGCATCCTAAATTAGATAAATATTTTAGCTTTAAATAATTACCTTAGTTATTCTACCTGACAATATATATAACTAATACTTAAATCATTTTTATAATTTTTTTTATAAGGTAATTACCCTCACCATCTTATAGGAATATATAGTTTGACTTTAAATGTATAGACAAATTGATTGAAAAATTGTTGTAGTATTTGGTACATAATTAATTAACTAACAATTAATTAATTGTAATACGTTAAAGGCAATTACTGAAGATTACATTACTGATAATATTAATTACTGTGTTAATTCCAATAAATGAATTAATTATTCTGGAATCAATATATCTACTTCCAAAATAAAATAATCTCACAGTTAAGATCTATATGCAAGTTGAGATCATAAATCAACGTGACCGGTTCACAATGCCGTGCATGGCGCGATCTGTTGGACGTGAAGAGAAAGCGCCGCAATCACCATCCAGCGGTAAAACCGGCAGTGCGAAGCAACTACAAAAAATAATATTTGATGTAGAAATTTATAACAAAACAAAAAGTTGTAATTTTTTATACCAAATAACTTATTAACTTTTATAATTTTTCGGTAGAAATTAAAATACTAAATTAATAAACATAAATTTGACTCTAAATTTAATCATTGTAGTAAGTATTAAATACTTGTTGTACTATATACTTATTGTATCATACTTAAATCATAAACCTTATTATCAGGATATAGGAACTTATTTTGCTGTTAGAATAATTCAATATATTTCATTCTAAAAATTAACTATTATATAGAAATTAAAATTTAATGTTTATATTATTTTCAATATTCAAAGTCGTCTTTAATATTTAAAATGTCATCTTTAATATTTTAAAGTAAACTTTTTAATATTAAAGTTAAATTTAAAAGTATTAATTTTTATTTCTAAATAATAAATATTTATAATTATGACTATTAGAATATTATTTTAAAACTAAAAATTATTTAACACAAAAAGCTACAAAAAAAAAAAAGAAAAATTACTAAAAATCGCAGTTGTTACTATTACTAACGATAAACACATACTGACACCCTGATCGGAAAAAAAACCCTTTATATACCCCTAGTGACCTTATCACCTAGTGACGTTATCATTAAGTATTATTATCATATTTTTCCAATTTTCGCAAGTTAAATAATGAATTTTTCGGTTGACCAAGAGCCTTTTTAATTAAATTGTTCTTATTTTTTAATTTTTTTTGTATTTTTATCATTTACTGGACCTTTTTCGTAAGGTCCAGTAACATGAAATAAATTATAATTCTTATAAATAATAATTATAACAATAATGAAAAATACAAAATGCTTATTATAAAGTTAAGTACAATGTTTTTTTATTTTTTATTATTCATCTTTGGAACATTATTATTCATTTATTTAAAATTAAAACTGTTATTAATTTAAACAAAAAAAATATTTAACTCTAAAGCCACAAAAATATTACTAAAAAATTGCGGAACGTATTTCAGGAACAATGTTACCATTAACAACATTAAACACATACTGACACCCCGTCCGGCAAAAACCCTCTTATATTCCCATAGTGACCTTAAAATCTAGTGACGATATTACTAAGTAATATTATAACATTTTGCCAGTTTACGCATGTTTAATAATGAATTTGTTGGTTGACCAAGAGCCCAATTAATTAAATTGTTATTATTTTTAAATATTTTTATTGACTCTCTTATATTGAGTTCTTTGTTATTATTTAAGTTTTTAATTAGTTTTATGGTTTTAATGGAGTGAATGTGTCAATAAATTTTCAGTCGCCGGAGATTTATCAACTGCTTAATTTTTAATGTTTTTAAAATGTTCTTTAAACCTGACTCCTATATTTCTTTTTGTTTGTCCTACGTAACATTTATTACAGCTTTCACATTGTATTTTATAAATGCCTTCTACTTTATCTTTAGGGATACCTAATAAATCTCGTAAATTTTTACTTTTAGATGTTACTAAAGTAATACCAAAATTCTTAAAAATTCCAGCTAGTCCATTTGAGATCTCCGAGATCTCTATATATTATATATAATATTATATAGAATAAAATGGGTCATCTAATTATTTTTTGTTCGCCTTTTATGTTTTTCCGATAAATTTCAAAATTTAGATCTCTCTTTGCTTTCTGTTTATATATGAATTTAATCAATGTATAAAAGGAATTTAAATATTGTATGATGACCCCCATATTAGAATCTTTGTTTATTACTGCAAAAATATCAACTGTATACCTAAACCTAATTTTCGAATTGATAAATGGAAAATTACCATAAGTGTATTTTAATTATTTTTGTACCTACTCATGAAAATTTCTGCTAAATTTTGATGATAGCGAATTTCCCATTGCTGTGCTCATAAAATTTATTCAAAAACTGAAAAACATTTTGACTCATCCATAACTTTGTCAAATTAATAAGCTTATTTATTTTATTCTGTTCTATGTTTTGTTCCCTTAGGCAGTCATTAAGCAAACCAACTGTTATATTTATCAGAATACCCGAAAATAAGGATACTACGTCAAAAGAAATTACCTGTCATTATTTTTAATAGTCTAACGAGATAATTTTTGAAGTAACTTAATATTATTTTTAACTGAAAATCTATCGAATTTTCGAATAAATGAAAACATTCTTACTAAGTGTTTAGCCAATTTGTAAGTTAGGGCATTAATATTCCAAATAATAGGTCTCATATTATTTTACGGCATATATATTTTTGGTAATGCATATAGTTTATGTATTTGAGGGTTTGAAATTTTAACAAAAATACCTGAACTTTTCTTCAATTATTAATTTTGAACTAATGTTTGTAATCTCCCTATCATTTTACTCAATGGACTCTTTTTAATTTCTCTATAGAGACTCTCTTGATTCATTTTCAATACTCTATTAAAATAATCTTCTTTCTTTAGTATTACCATAGAATTCCCCTTATCTGATATTAAATAAAAGCAATTTTTACTTTTTAAGTCCTGTATGAATTATCAATGTGTTTTATTTTTTCCTAAACCCTCTTTACTTACAACAAATTTTTTTTTTTAGAAAATTTAAACACTTCCTTCTTACCAAGTCTTGATTAATAAAATCAACATTTTTAACCTCCAATTCAATGCCTAGTAGATGATCTTCCATCGGAAATTTTTTTTTGGTTAAAAATTGATTTAAGATCCAATTTATTAAAGTTCAATATAATGCGTGTAACTATTTAATACTTAAAACGTTATATAAATTGACATAAAGTCAGATTTAGAATAACTCAGCTTATATTACTTAAAATCAGACAAAATATTTACAAATAATTATTTTACTTTATTCTATTTCGTTAAATTGAGTGGATGGATAGTTCAAAAAAGACGTCTATGTCGGAAAACTAAAACTAAATATTAAAAAACTCATTAGAAGAGGGTAAATAGGCCATCGATTCAGTTAATAAACCAAAATAATTTATTAAAAACTACTTTGTCGACTAATCATCGAAAAACCGGAAAGTTAAGATTATAAAAACGAATTTCTTGAATTATAATAATTTTGATACAAAAATAGTATCATTAACTTATGTCTTACATTAATATTGGTTAGTTTTTTTTGATAAATGTAATAAATTTTTCTGAAAATCAAACAGGGAAACCAAACAAAAAAGAGATAGAGTTAATTTTTAAATTCATTATTAATAAAAAAAAAAATTATTTGGCTTAATTTTTCTATTTGTGTTTAGCATCCTCTTTTAATAGCTACTGTTTGTGCTGGTGCTAAATATTAAATAGCTCAGTGAAAAAATATTTTTCAAGGCGCTTTAAAATATTTAGTAATAAAAAATACTTTTGTGGTATTCATCAACGTTCGTGGAGCCATTTTAAACCCGATGTTCTACATAAGTGATTGATTGTATTGATCTTACGCCGCTAGTGTCCATTGCAACGGTTTCGAACTTTACTCACCAGGGCACACGGTTCCATAATATCTAATTAATGCTTTAATTAATATTCATAGTTGTTAAAATTTTAATAAAATTTATTTTTTTATACTTAGAGATAAAATATTGAGAATGATAATTACACAATTATCGTTCTTAGTTAGCATAGGTTCAATGCCTTAATTTCAGTGTGATTAATTTAATTTAAAAATGGAAAGTATAATTATTAATGGATTTCACTGAAGTACTTTGCTATTCTAATAACGGTTTTTGAGTTTGTGTTAATGTACAAATATAATTAATGATTTCGTTTGACCATGCATAATATGTGAAATTTGAATAGCAAAAATTTTGAATTTAATATGTTTATTATACAAGAGGACAGGTTTTATGAATAATTATAGTAATAGTGCATTACCGGTGTAATTGGAAAACAACTATGGTTAATTATCATTATCATTTAATAAAATTTCATCTAACTTTGAGTGTTTTATTAGCATGTGACCAATTTAATCTGAAAAAAATTATAAAAACATTAAAACTAATCGATTTTACCATTTAATAGAAATATTGTTTAGGATAGTAAATAATAACATTTTAACATTTAAACGAATGAATTAAAAACACAAGTAATAGAGTAATAATACTAAATGAATTCGTATTTATAATGTAATGTGAAAATAATAGTTTTACCATTAATATAAAATTTAATTTTCGTGTATAATTGTACTTCAAGTACCTTATGTAAACATTTAAAGGCTTTTAAATGATATTAGAAACATCTAAATATCCCAGAAATATAACTTTAAAGATCTTAGATACATGAATAATTTGTCCACAACACGGTTTGTACCGTGTAAAAAAACTTGACTTTACATGTACATACTAGTGCAATACTATTTTTGCAGGTGAAAGGAGTAAGGACGCCACTGATTGTGGTTATTGTGGTCCGGGCAGATACAATAATTACCGTAGTGGCACACTGAGAAGAGAGCCGGTCTTCGAAGTCGAAGAATACTTTCGAGATCTGGCGGATCGCTTTCGTGTGTCAGTAATGTGGTGTTCGCACGATCTGTTATCTCACGAGCGTTGAAAGTGTGCACAATAATATCGGCGTATTTTAATTCAAACTTAATGCGAATAAAATTATCTCGTGTGTTTGGTGATTATAAAATTCCATACAAATCTAAATTTTTTTTTTATTTTTGTGTATAAAAACATACGGTCTACAATGAGGACTTTACCATTTGTTTTTCTTTTGCTCATGGGTGAGAAATTATTTATTGGTTAAATAGTTTATAGCATTAAGAAATCTAATTTTATTGTTTATAAGTAATAATGTTTATCCTCGATTAAAATGAAACAAATTCGAGACAACTCAATGAAGTTAAATTAAAATTAAAAACCAATGTAAATATGTTGTTTAAAGAAATAATTGAATAATATTAAAAAAAATAATTCATTAGCTTGAGCATCACTATCTTCAATGATGTGATAACCATTTTCGCAATCTCCAAGTAAATTTATGAAGTACACTTTTATGTAAATAAAGAATACAAAAAAAAAAGCTTAAAATATTTAAAAAAATTAGTAAGAACACAATGTTCTTACTAAGTTTCTTGATAATAAAATGCATTAGGTTGACCATAATTTTTCATTAAATAAATTAATTTAATTTTACCTATATCCTCGTAAATTCAATTTTAATACACAAGAAATAGTTCAGAATACTCGCTATACGTTTTTTTTATAACGAAATTATTGACAACAACAATATTTATTAGTCTTTATTTATTTGTTCCTAGTAAAATAAATATGCCCTTAATTTTTACTTGACAATTAAAAATCAAATAAATATTTTCTAACTAAAAATTACTATAATTCATTTATATAGTATTTTTAGGTTAAGTTTATCATTCATTTGCAAGTTTATGTATTTTAATTTATATTAAACAAAAATATCACGAAATAACTATTTTATGACGTATATAATCATAGGTATTTTATTATATATATATTAATTAAAAAGTCTTTCAACAGTATAAATATACATGATTCTGTTTTGCACAAATTTATTTTAGGATGATTGCATCACTATCATTACCACCATTATCATACAGTATTTTCAATTAATAATATTTGTACATTTTTGATAAATATCTAAATGAATAAATGCGGGTAATCATTTGAAAACTATTTTATTGGAATATTTAAATAAATTAATACATTAGTAATAGAAAGTTGTATGTGGTCAGAACGCGTAGTAGTTGCATGCTCTTTTCCATGTTTGTTCACTTTTTAAGGATATTTAAATTCTTGGAACATAGTAATGTTATTATTGCTTCACTATATTTGTTTATGACTATTCCAAATCACTTAATAGCATTTTTGCTTTACTGTTAACAACGATCGGAAATGCTTTTTAGGACGTGAGAGTAACTATGTATGTAATGACATAGACCTTGAGGATGAGAGTTGTGTACATTGTTAATGTTATGTTGCAAAATTACAAATGCATTCGTATATTTTAGTTCGTACATTACCTGTAATATCAAGTTAACTAAAGAGTTACTAAACTAATAGCATACTATCAACTAAACGTATAACAAAAGTTATTAAATTTTACTCATTTTTAATTAAACCTATTATTTATACTCTCAAACGCAATTACACTCTTAAAAAATAGACAACAATTTCACATATATGTATTGCACGTTTTTAACGAATACAATATAATGGAGAATTTTAATAAATAGTGATAATAATATTATATTTGTGTACGAATTGTCGGTACTTTATATCAAAATTACACTAGTTATGTGAAAAATGAATGAGTATATTAAAAATATCATACCAAGGGACGTAGGCAATTTTTGAATAATTTCTTACATTATATATTTATATACATTAATATATTTACATTATCACGTTTACATTTCAGCTCATAAACAATAAAAATCCATTAAAACATACTTTGTTAGTTATATTTATATATACAATATTTCTGCATATTCAACAGTATATTTTGCCAATTTATTTGAATTTTGATTAATTTATGACATTAATGCGTAATAAAATTACAAAATAATTAATTTAAATTTTAGATTGCTAATTTTTCAACGTTTAGTTTACGAATGAACCAGTTGGACAACATTATATTTAATTATATTAAATCAATTAATTTAATTACAAACATAGTTAATCTTACAAATTATTTAATGATATCACTAGATAATTTAATCAAAATAATGCAATAATCACAGAAATATGCCGTGAGCACTAAATATATTTATAAATATAAATACGATTCGATTCGATTACTGAGAAAACTGATTTCAAAAAAAAGCATCGAGTACAAATCCGACAGATTCCAGGTCACAATTACTGATAAATGTAAAACTATAGATTAGTATTTATTAGTGTGGATTGCCGAACAAGTTCAATAATTGCGATCTAATGATTTTCTTTCCCTATCAGAGCCGCAAATAATAGTAAAATAACAGTACAATAGACGTAAAAGTCAGAATAGACAAATGAGACGGCAGTGTAAATCCATTAATTATAACCATGTCCGTAGCACGTATGTATAAGAAAAGACGTGATCATCGATACTCCTGTGACATTATTACCAATAACTATTGATAACTCATATTAACAAACTATTTTTGATGATTTCCAATTCAGTGAAAGTGTCGTTTGCACAAGTGAGTCAAATTCGAAATTTTGATAGTTACACACTTTTGTAGGTGGAAAAATTAGAGAAAAGTTTAATTTCAGATTCAATAATAAGTAAACGCCTTATTAGTTAATAATACATAATTGATGATTGTTATAATAGAAAATATTGAATTTACTAATAAAAACTTCATTTATCAAAGTTTACATACAAATATGATTCATCTTTAATTTGATGTCATTGCAGGTAGAAATAACTTTAAATTTATGTTGTATGGTTATAATACCTAATAAAAAATAGATGGAATCATATCAGAGCGCCTATGTGCGTTTCGCTTTTCTTTTCGACCCAATTATTGGGTTGTAATAATTACTTTAAAACGCAGCGAATATACTAAAACCACAAAGCGTTTAAATATAATATCATATTGTTCCGCTATAAATTTTTGTTTAAAACTGTCGTCAAGCAAGAGGTCTATAACTAAAACCTTAAAGACATTCAAAATTGAATGGTCGGATTTTGATTAAAGTGGTATTTTAAAGTATATTTTGCTTGCTTGTTTGACATTACTCAACAATTGTGACATTCAATATCTAACAAACTTTCCATTTTGAGCTATACTAATGCCACAAATTATATATAAGTTTTTAGTCAGCCAACCGCCACAAAACTCTACCATATTAATCTTATGATATGTTGTTTTCTCAAAATTATTATAAACAATCATTAATAAGATTATAACGTAATAGACACCTCTTGTTACGTTTTTTTTTCGTTTCATATTGTATTAACAAAATGTCGAGTCGATACTTTTGGTATGTGTACCTAACTTGTATATACAAAAATTTCAGTCCTTTATTTTTCAAATATCGAAGTCTATTCTCTTTATTCATGGGAAACTGGTTTGTTCACTATTTAGTTAGAATGCCAAGTTGAGCTAACAGTTAACCGACAACTATTCAGACGAGAATTCCCGTTTTTCTTAAATAATAAAAACACTATATAGGTGAATAGGTCAACAAATCTGACACACGAACAATTAGAGCAACTACAATCATTAAAATTTTAGAATAATGACCTTGAAGCACACATCAAATATCTATTAAGCATCGTATCTTATTAATTATCTATTATTACTTTATATACTTAGCAACAAGTAAAAATTGGACGGTGAAATTATTTCTATAAACATTATTTTCTGATATTAAGTTCCTAAAAAACAAAAAATGTTTAAGATATAACTATTATATTTTCAATAATTGATCAGTTGTACTTAACAATCATGTAATGTTTCGGTACGTATAAAAATTACTTTTATGCTTCATAGTATAACTTATGTTATTCAAGAAATAATTAAAGTAAATGTTATGTTTTAAATAAGGTTTTCTAAGTCAATCTAATTCACTTTTTAGAAATTTAAATGTACAAAAAGTTTAATACACCAAAACTAAAAATCTGTTTATAGTAGTTGAAAAATATGTTACTATAGTAACTAGTCAGATTACAAAATTTATAAGAATAAATAATGGTTAAATGAGTAATTTGTTTTTTGTAGTAAAAATTGAATTTCTTATGTAAACTTTTAAATAAAAGTATTTATAAGGTACAATAGCTAATCAATCAAATATGTACTTGACTGAAGTATGGATAAACCTTTTAATGAAACGAGTAACTATTTTTTGAGTTCTTTAATTTATTGTCAACTTTGTTGCACAATTTTACGAGTACAAAAAATCTAAAGTAATAAAAATGTTTGTAAATAAAATACAAACAATATTAATCTTTTTTTTTTTTAAGTTTAATGTTACATGTGATATTTTAACTTAAATAAAGATTTTTTAACGACTACAAACAGATCAATTTTTGGTAATTTAACGGTTAAATATGTTGGAAAAAGTACTGAGACGGCATATTTAAAAATAAAATTAACATATTTATAAAATATAAAATTTTTACATTCTTATCTTGTAAATTAATGATGAAATAATATTTGAATTTTTTTCTAAACAACACATTTTTCATTTTAAAAAGTAACAATAAATAATATCATTGTTTGGGAAATAGTAACATAAAAACAGTAACCAATTACTTACTTTACCATACTATTTTTATAAAAAGAAACTTTTTTTTTTAAATTAATATTCATAGTATTAAGCAAAGAAACATTCGCCTTTAAATATAAAAATTTAAAGAAAAAAATGTTTAAATCTAAGTAAATGCAACGAAATAAAAATAATATACCTTGGATAAAAACTCTGAATACTTTTTAAAAACTTAAGGAATGTTTTAAAATTTATAGAGGTATAATCCATTTTTTGTTTTTCTTACTTTAAAAATTAAATTAATGTCGAACGATCTATAAAACAAACATACTAAGTTTCAAACAAATTATGGAATTCTTTTTTTTTTAATCCCGTTCAACTAACGTAAACAATTAGAACGTATTAACATCAATGTTAATATAGGTCGATAACTTAACGGAATTTGTAATAATATGTTAATTGAATTCAAACTTCTTCCAAAACGTCTTATGATTATAAATAAAATTATATGAAGCTACGGTTGTAAATTATTCATGTGTATTAATTTGAGATGGCCTACTGCGTTTGCACGACATATAATCGAATAATAAGACTGTCTTCCATAGTATCGAAAAATGTTTACATGTAGAAAAGTTCTTTGATGTTTCCTAAATTCATTTCATTCACTACTTTACTCTACACTTGTACTCAATATTTGTTTATTCTAGTTATCAATAACAAAGCGATATGTGTAGATATGTCAAGTACAAAAACGGAAGACAAAAAAAAAAAATGATAAAGTCGAAAAATTTAAATGCGCAGATAATAGATGAGAACCCGAAATTAATGATTGTTATGAACAAACAATAAAGGGAAAAATATTTCATGTGACATATCGATTAATTTATAAAAACTGTATTTTCGGCGTATTGTTCATACATCTGATTATATATTTAACTTACCATAGAAAAATATCAAAAGAATTTCTCGTAACCCTTATATTTACACGATATAGTCATAAAAAATGTTTAATCGTGTGTCGAGTTACTTATTAGAAACTCTGCTGTACTTATATGTACCTTGTCTTAGCCTTGATTAATAAGTACATTTAACCGTAAAAATAACTCTATTATTACTATTCCTCAACACTGCGCATGAGAGTGCAGCAATATTATTAAATACTCTCTAAAATCCAAATACTACCACTCACGAGTAGGTTTCCATAAGGTAGTGATGCAATCATAACTTTAATAATGATAGCACAAAACCGGACTCTACTTACGAGAATCTATATTAATATGGTCTGAACTCGTTATTTTCACTCGAATTGGAGTCTTGTAGGTGGACAGGACGAGGAGAAATTCCACATAAATAAAAATAATATTATTCAGTGATGTCATTGTTGCTTAAAACAAATGAAAAACTACATGAAAAATAATCATTACTACATTATTTTACATTAATAAGCCATTGCTACATATTCTTGGCTGCTGTTACAATATTAAAGCGTTCAAAATCTTATTCGTCAGTTAATTTGACCGCTACATTGCAATCAAAATATTCAATGTACATTCATATTGGTAAATACAAATAATTATTAACGTTGTTTTAATGTTTGTCGGAACACGAAAGATCTACTGAGGTAAACTGCAGCTCAATGTCAACAAATATACCAAAGCAAATAGTCGTTTGCTGTGATTTATTTAAACGCTCGAAGCAAGTCAAGTAAACAGAATGGATTAAAAAATCTGCTTTTAATAACAGAAAAAAACACAGTTTTTATTAAAAATATCCCCCGGTAAATAAAAATGTCAACCGATAGTAAATGTAATGTTATAATTCAAATAACAAAAATAAAATAAAAATAAAATAAGAGGTTTGGGATATTTGTGCGCGCATGCGGTGATGCGCTGAATCGGGGAAGTGAAGTTCGAGGGCTTATAGGACAACGAAGACAAGTAGATATAGCTGATCTATTGCTCCGAAATCCGTTACTCTCAGATTATTAACTTTAAATAAATGGAATGATATAAATTGACTTACCTTCGTATTTTGTAATGTCCAAGAAGATAAATGAAGTATTTACCAGAAATGCCAATTTTTACTCAATGTTATTTGTTTATGGTAATAATGTCTTTATAGATCAAAATAAGTTTTAAACATAAATAAAGTAAACAAAATAAAATAACTCAAACGGCAACACGGGGCCGTGATCAAAATGTAATAGCAAGAGTAGTTTGTAGGAAAGAACTAGCTTACTGGAGCTGTGGCTCTGGCCTTAGCCGTAGCCGTGGCTCTCTGTCTCTCTAATGGATATCAGTGCTTTTTATAGTACTGAAGAGGTACCCCCATATCCAGGGATATTGCCGTTTGTGTTATTTATGATTATTATTTATTGTTTCAAAGTATACATTACATGATAATTATATTAGATAATATAGTTGACAATAGATGAGTTGGCATATATATAAATAATAATAAATTGTATTGAACAGCATATTTGTTATGACAGATAAATTATTTGTTTGTTTACAAGTTGTTTAAAATACAAATTATACATTTTTCATTGATAATTGTGAGATGCTTAGTGCAAAGTATTAAGCATATCACGACAGTAATATAAATAAAAAAACCTTCAAAGTCGTTTATATAAAACAATTTTTTTTTTTTGTATCCAAACCGGTAAGATAAACACAAATTTGTATTTTTTCACTAATTATGTGCTATTTCTTGCGAAAAAAATATACATTATAAAACGTATCATTGATCGCCTTACAGATACATAGTAACTCTAATAATAATTGTAATGCAATAATTGTTAATAGGTTTCTATAATTATTATGGAAAACTCGACGATGGTCTTTATTTCTGTGGCGATTATGTCGTTAAAATAAAAAAAGGTCAAGTGCATCTACTGTTTTTATCTTGCGTTCATGTTCGAATGCAGGATGTCTTAAAAACCGTACTGGGTTTCGGATCATAAATATTAATTTTTTTAATTTTAATTATTCACATAAACAGTTATTTAAAAATAATTTTTGCTTTATAAAATTAAAAGATCACACAGCAAATTTTAATTTACAAAAAACAACCTTATTTTAATATTTTTCTTTACATTAAGTGACATGAACATCTCGCATGGGAGTGAATCTTTCAAGTTTTGGTTGGTTTAACATCCTTTTGTAGATACCAATCGGCTACTAGTAATATATTCCGCATAGGAGTACATTATTTTGTTGGACCTGTGCCCAAACAGTACGTCAGAATAAAATATTCGGCCAACATTTGGGAAGCGGATGTAACAGCCGCCTTGGAGCCAAACTGTTATCCGCAGTAATGTAATTACTGCTCATTTCTCCCAATAATATAACAACAACGTATCTATAAGTAAATGTAATAAAAAACTGTGCTGGTTATTAACACCGAAGTTCAAATCCGTCATATACAATTATCATAATTTCAGAATTAAAAATCCTTCACTCCAATACCTGGGTATCGATAACGACTTCATCGAGACTTGATGTATATTTAGACCTTAAACACGTGCATTATGGTCGATTAATAACAATAATTACCTGTGTCATAATTGGGGATCACGATCGACTAACTAAAAATGAAAGCTTTTTATTCTGCCAAACCGTGACTTGGATTTTAATTATGACTGTTGGCTGCTTATAGAAACGATCATTTTTATACCAGAGTACACCTATACAGGGTGTACTCGTTCAACTGACAACGCTTATAACTTTTGATACAATCATTGTTATGTTGAATTTTTTTTATTAAGTAATTATTACCTTCTGAGACAACGTTTAAAGCATGTTTTTTTGTTATTTTTCACTAATAAGAAAAAAATATAAACTATTAATTTTTATTTTTTTCAAAATTCTTAAATAACTACTTCTTGGTCATATTTTTGAAAAAATGTTGATAGGTTGATGATAATCTTAGAAAAAGTACTTATTAAGTTACGATCATTTTAACATATAAAGTACAAATAAAGGCAGGTGAAGTATGTTTACACCAGTACATGTTGCGCCCGCCGCACTACATACTCACTTTAGCTAATAAAACACTTGTAACTCAATAAGTATTTGTCTAAACATTTTTACTGACCCATTGATATTTTTTAAGTAAAGATCTAAAAAATGGCTATTTCCTAATATTATGTAACTAATTGGTTATTACCAGTGTAGGAAAAATCTAGGTTTTTTATTTATTCATCGATTTATGTTTATCTTTCTTAAACACTAAATCTTGCGCCAAAAAGGATGAGAAAACTGACATAGCCAGAACTCCAAAATCAGACATTTTTACGTCTAAACTAAGTAGGCTTCCTAAGATTACAAAAAAATGTTTATTCGTGATAAATAAAGAAAAGTATGCTTTTAACGTAGTCTAAAAGACAATAATTATTATTAAAAAAATAAAAATGAAACATAATAAAAATCGAATCAAAAGTTAACAGCGTTTTTAATGAAATCCGAGACACCCAGTATAATTTTGTACTGTGCAGTACCAATAGTTGGTCCAGTTATCCATTCGATTTACAATCACCGAGGTCGCCACCATGACAGCATTTATAGTGCACACAAATTACAGACTTACGCCATTGAAATAAATTCATAATATAATCGTGTTTAGAAAGTAAACTAAATGAAGCGAAACAACATCATACTACCTACCTACTCGTTAATTATAATTGTTAAACTAAATCGAGAGCTTTTTAAAAAAACTGTCAATTTTATCAACCTGTAAGAATTTTCAGGCGATGACTGTTTTATTTAGTATTTTTATTTGTTGATGACAAATTCAAAGTGAATGTAAAAAAGAAAAAGTCAATTTTTATAACAGTACAGGTTGAAGTCGTAAACAGTATTCACAATTAGTGTCGGTTAGAGTAGCAACTTCTACGATACTATTTTATGATATTTTACAATTTCTTTTACAAACGTGTTATGTACAAAAATTTTGTTTAGTGTCTACTCATAATGATAACGTGTTTTTGTAAATTTTATACTTATGATGTCGACACGTTTTATGTTTTAATATTACTGCACCTATTATTACGATTGTTTTCGTTATATTTTTTGATTATTTGTAATAAAATGGATGTTCAATAGCCAATTACTTTTAGGTGTTACTATAAATCTGACACGACAATTACACAGTTAATATTAAAAATAATAAATTATTATTGAGTTATTGTACTAACGACTGACGAGGCGTTTTTTTAGCCGCACATATCTCTGAGCTATGGCCTGGGACGGTTTAAAAAAAAGTGAAAACTTCTTTGATATATCACCTCATGTGCGTACTACTTATATCTAGTTGTTTGGTTCTATTAAGTGCAATGTTACCCACAGTAGTAAAATGACGTCAGCATCACATGCTATTAACCTTTTGGTAAACGCCAAATTTAACTAAACGTTTGTAGTTGGAAAATTTAAGAATGAAGTTACTAGTGATCTTCAATTTCCATAATTACCACCGTTACAGTGTTCATTACTCACTTGAACTCCGAACCTAAACAACACTGAGAAATTGTAAATGCTGCATCATGTTTTATCGACACTATCATTCAACTATTGTCTGTTGGAAATAGAAATGTGTTTTATGTTTTTCTATTACAACTGTCAAAATCAATCCGTATCTAAACGTGTGAGTTATGAGAAATGGCCGATGTGCATTTTTCCATTTGTAATATATTGAATATGTATTATTATAATAAGATTGGTAAATAATTCACCAATCTTTGTAATCAATTTTTCAGATGTCGTAAATAAATACTCACATCACGACTGACGACTATTAAATTTATCTATATTTGGAATTGGCAATCACATCGGGTCATTGATTCTCATTTGCATGAATAAAAAAAGCATAAAAAAACTTGCTCGCGACAAAATGAATCGAATGAACGTTCTTTACACAGTCTGCAATATTTACCGCAGATTATTTTTCTAGAAATGACGAGCGTTCATTTTGCGCAAAAGTTATTATTCGTTTACTAGTATGTTTCTATTTTATTTTCGATAATAAAATGTTACAAAAAAATCATTTGTCGCGACAGATATAGTTAAACACATGATTGTTATTCGCAGAAAAAGATGTCTCCGGGGAGACGTGATTTGACGTTGGCCCGAAGAAAGCCGTTACCGAGTTTATCATGCCATTGGATTTACCGCAGTTTCCTGACCGTAATAAGTTTTATACGACTTCCATCAAACGACATTGACGTGTGCCCTTTTTAACGGATAACCACCCGACCGGAGTAAAAAAAAAAAAAGGTTTTTTTTAAAACGCTTACGCTGCAATAGCTCTTTGATGGCAACGAAGGCGTTAAAAAAACCTAGATACAATTTTCACGATCGTGAAAAATATGGCTAGTGATATTTTAACGCGAACATTACGGCTGTCGTTTTCCACTTATAACGTACCCTCTGGCTATTAGTCAAACATTTACAAGTGTCTCTCATCGACATATCTGAAAAATGTATTTTTTTCGATTCCGTTTGCACTTTAGTAGATTTCTAACACACATCGGAAAATTAAACGATTGCCTTACTAGCATTGGGAAACATAAAGAGCTTATATTTTTAATGCAGTCTATTTCGACCTCGATCTGAAATAGCTGGATAGTCCAATGTTAAAAAACACTATGAGAAAAATAACTAACCGATCGTTTAATTATCGCGATTTCGATTTCGTTTGCGAGTAGCAAGTAAGACTATGTGGGCACTGGTTCAGACCGGACAGAGAGTAGTATCGATAACACCAATGCGTTGGCCCCATTGTTTGTGTACCCACAACTTAAGTCACGTTGCACCGAGTACGCCCAATAAGTAACGGTTTTGGAATCTGAGCGGCAACTGTCGAATGTCCATCGGCGAATTTCACTGTATTTTCTCATTGGCAGCAATTATGATGTCGAACCTTCAGAGACTAGTTCGTGCCATCAATATTCAACGACAACAGAGCAATAGCCTAAAGAGTGTTCGAGTCACGAAAACGACATGGAAAATAAAACAAATTTCTTTTTAGATTCTTTTTTATGTATTTGCATTTGGTTTCGTCCAAAAGTCGTTATTTTTATTATTAATGGCGAACACCATTTTTATATTTAAAAAGTATAAATATCTTTTGTGCTTTCGAGAATTTCGATGAATTTAAATACTCTGTATTAAACGCGTTTTTAAATATTTATTCATACAATATTTCGAATGTAATACATTGAATGGATCGCTTGAAACATTGAATAAAGAACCTATTTTAATATAACAAAGACAGCTTTTATTCGCCATGAAATATTTAATTCGGACAGTAGCCCAAGGAATAACATCTGAGGGCATTGTAGTACACGGATGCCAAGTGTACATTTTCCATCATGTAACTTGCAGTCGCCAGTCATAGTTATTGATCAACAATCGTGAATGAAAAAGTAGTTATGAAAAGAAAATACAAACACGCATTCAGTTAAAAAAAAACATATTTTTTTTTTATCTAACCAAAGGTTTTAGTCAGAATACTTATCTAAATTAAAATCTCAACATTTCATATTAATTCTAAGGATATTTAATTTAACTACATGTATAATATAATGAACAATATAAACATTGATTATGTTATAAAGC